GGGGAGCAGAACAGGCAGATCAACGAAGTACACTGCTGAGGGGAGCGGCAGGCGGGTCAGGAGAGGTCTGCCACGCCATGTGGGCACTTTTGGGGCAGGTGGAATGGAACTCACGCAGAAGTGACTTTAGCTTAGTGCTGTGCTTTAACCCGCTGCGCCACCAGAGAGGGCCGGTGCTCTGGAATTTTTAACTTTCTAGGTGGCCAGACTGGTCCTCCCAAACATTCCGACTGGTGTTGGTTTAAATTACAAGTTTCTACTCCTACTAAGCCATGATTCTGTTGTTGCATGCCTTTCCAGTTAGGAGGGCAGACTGTAGTGGTATCTTAATTTTTTGATGAATCCACAAGGATTGGTGATTTTCAGTTTTCAGCTTACTTTTTTCTTTGTTAGAGTAGGAGTTAAATCAACTCTATTGATTTTTATAAATCAATCTGTGTCTGCTTAATTTGCAGAACTTTCTTATTAACCTTGTTTGTTAATTCCATTGGATTTTCTATGTCACCTACAACTAATTACAGTTTTGTTATTTTCAATTACAATTTTGTTATTTTCTCTCCAATTATTATATCTCCTATTTTTATTTTTCTTACTGTGTGGCTTAAAATTTCTATTGTGATTGCTAAAACATTTAAATAATTTTCCAGTATAGTGACCATGTAAATGAGAGTAAGTTTTCTTTTGGATTTTTTGGAACTCACAATCAACAACAATTTTTAAAATGATTAATAGACTCTTAGGTGATTTATTTTCCTAGGAATTTTGAGTTCTGTCTTTCTAGTGTATATATACATTGCTCTTTTTTATTATAATTCATGTAATATAAATTTTGCATTCACACTCAATAATGAAACACAAATAATTCTGTCATAAAATTATTTGCTGTTGAAGTATTTTTCAAATGGCTTGGATAAATTCTAATTTTGTTAGTATGTAAGTGAATTTTGTAGTACACTGCGTCTTCAAAAGCGGTAGAAATACACATTTTATTTTTATACTGTTAAATGGACATTTCAAAGAAAGGACATGCAGTTAGCAATTCAGTTAGTATTTTTTAGTTGAGTAATGAGGAAATTTGTAACTTGTACAGTCACTTTTATATTACAGAAAATGTTACAGTAGACAATTAGTATAAATTCCAAACAAGTATCTATGTATAACATTGAATTTTACTTCTAGCATAATTTTTGATAGTAGTTTAAAATATAAGTAAAATCACCAATAACCCAAATATTACCAAACTGATTGCAGAAATATTATTGCTCAGAGCAGGAATACTGGATTCTGGTGGAAGTATAAACTTGACTGCTAGTGCAATGTTAGAAACTTCTGAAATGAGATTGGCTTGACTGATGGATTGAATTGCAATATAGAATGTAGTTCCGTTTGCTCTTGTAAATGGTTCTGGTTTGAATTCATAATTTTCATTTGAACCAGGCTCCTTTGGCATCAGACTAGAAGTGTTCACTAAAGTAGCGTTGTCAAAATCTTTTTCAAGATCCAGGAAACACTTACTTATTCTTATAATGTACCTGTTGACTGGAAAACAAAAATATTTCATGGATATTAAAGTCCTTAGGATAACTTATTGACAACACACTGCCTTCCATTCAGGAGCCTATTAGAATTACACACTAGGTTTTGGTTATGAAAATATTAGATGTAAATGTGTCTGGTTATTCTATCATCTTTATTTTAAGGATAAACATGTGAATAGTTTTTTTTTTAATCTAGTTATCCAACCACCATAATTTACGTGGAAACCATATAATACTAAGGAAATGGAACTCAGATAAAATGTGTACAATGTTGTAAGCCAATGATACCTTCATAAACATTTTTTTTTAAAAGAAAAGTAGAAATATGAAGAGCTGATTCTACTTTCTGGTTTAAAACAAGGAACAAAATAATGAACACTATTAAAGATAGTTAGCATCCCATTTCTGTATTATTTCTCATTAAGTTGAAAGAGGGAATAGTAGGAGGCAGGAGCAAGAGAGTAGATAAATAGACAGGGATAAGGATTCAGGACAAAAGGAGGCAGAGATGCTGGAATGCATACTGATTACAGTGTGTTTAGGAGCTAGGCAGATTAAGATTACCATTTTAATCTTGCTACTTTCTGTGTAACAAAAATACATTTATTTAAACTATTTTTACCTTTATTTTTCTTATCTTTTAAAAGTTATTTTTTCTTCCATCATTGTAGCCCCCATAGTTCTCCCACTACCATGTCACCCACGAACCATCACCATTTTTTCTTGTGTATTTTCCTTATCTTTAAAATAAGAGGTTCAGTTATTCAATCAGTTCATCAAATTTTACTGAAGGCCTATTATTCTAGCAGTGAGAATTTTATATGATAGGGCACAAAAAGTGTTTGGTATACTAAGACTTAATAGATATTGAAATAACTATTATTACTGTTATTATTTTTATCAAGAAAGGGTAGGAAGATTTTGACATAAAATATTTCCTTCCAAATTGCTTTTTAGAAATTACCAGGGTCATGGATATAAAAATCAATTCTTACATTTTGAAATAAAATGAGCAATAAAACATTAAATACCCTTTTTGATGTGAAAGTTTTCTTTTTTTTTATCATGAAATGTTAAATGTTTTTTAAGTGTGTGGTGAATAACTTTAACTTAATGGCTTAAAGAAATACTGACCCTTTGTAGAGCAATATAGTTTTTTCATAAATAGGTCTTATAGTTTGACTTTTCTTCTAAACACCATGTGTTCCATAGGTTGATCTGTATGTCTGTCCATTCATCCATCCATCCATTCATTCATCCATCATCTGTCTCTATCTACCCTTTATTTTAATTCAAAAATTTCATTGTGAAATTTTATTTTCTTGGTCTCTATCATATTATTTGTTTTTTTCCCTCCCTGTTAGGAATCTCTGGAATGTTCCTCCCTCACTCTCATGGAAAGGGTGAAGAGTGGAATTTTTCAGATTGTTTTATGGAAGTTCAGTTTTTCTTTTCAATTAAATAAGATTATTATTGTATACAAAGACTAAGATTTATATTCTTTTTACCCTTTGTATCAGATACAATAGAGTCACTGGTACAGTACTGGGTATATATTTGTTTTCTTAATTACTTGTTGGCCACAATACAGTTATTGAGCTGATAACCAATTGATGAAATTAGACTCATACAACATTAGAATTATATTACTTCTTTAGTAATTCTAGGTTATCTAGTATTAATTTATATATTTGACAGGTATAAAAATTGGGATCCAGAGAATTTACATACTTCATTAAAGATTACATAGCTATTCATTTTATCTTTGTGACACTGCTCCTACCCTCTTTTGCAAAGTCTGAGGTTAATATTTGATAATAAATACAGTCTCTGTTTGTCACAAGCAAAATGAGAGATTATATCCTGCTTATTAAATTTATGTTTTTAAACAGAGTTAAGTTCTTTCTTTTCCAGTGTGCATTTTTCCTTCTTTTAGTTCCTACAATCAGTATGAGGAACATTTATTATGAACCCAGTCACAAGCTAAAGGCATGGTTTTACCTGAACTGAATTTAGAACCAAACATTGGTCAGATAATTTCATTTATAGCTTTTTCAGTTGAAGTAGTGGTAATTTTTTTATTATTATTTTGCGGTATCCTTGGATTATAGCATTGTAAAAACACATTCTAGAAGCTTTTATGCTAAGAGTTTTTGACTTGGAAGTACAAAATTGCTCATTTTGATTATTCTGTTTTCTCCATCCTTTAAATTATTTTTTCCTTGCATAAAAATGATAAAAAATAAATATAGCTTTGATAATAGCCATATAGAGGGGATGAGAGTATTTAATGGGGTGGGGTTAATGTAACTCAGAAGAGAATGTTTTGAACTTGTGACTTTTCAGCACCAATAACCTCTGAGATATGATGTATATCAACATTGCATATTGCTTTTATTTTCTCACCTTAACATAAAGAAAAAATAGCAAAATTAGTTTTTGGTTCATAGGAATCTACCAGTCAAATATAATACTGAAATATGGCCAGCATTCAATAAATAATTATTGAATTCAATTAAGTTTAAATTATAATTTAATTCATTAAGTTTAAATAATAATTGAATTCAGTTAAGTAAATAGAAATGATTTAAACTTTTTGGTATGAAAGCAATTTATTATTAAGAGCTTTAATTACATGTGATATTTTGTCTTTGAACTTTATTGAAATACCATGGCCAAATATCTCAAGTTAGTAAGTTTCTCTATATAATATCTATCCTTTCTTTTCACGGGACACCTTTACTTAATATGGCTTTCTCAAGTTTTCAAGACTTAGGTCAGGGATTATCTTGCCTGAGAAGCTTTTTAAGATCTGCCCTGGATATTTGTGTCTCTGAATATTTGTGACTTTACTATGCAGTGCTTTATAATTCTGTGCTTATAGCAGCATGTTATCTTATCGTGCTGTGTAAAATTGTTTACTTAACAGAAATTATCTTCTGTACTCAACTGATAGGAATGTAATAGCATCTGAAAATTCAGCAAGTGATCAAAAAATGAACAAATTTGTATAAGTATAGAAATACCTAGAAAAACGACTCATAGGGAGGAAAGAATACAACAGAAAGCTGTTAATTCAGTTTTTTCAAAGTAATTTCTGATGTCTCATATAGTGAGAGCCTAGCATAACAGGATTTGACAAACGTAGTTTAGGATTCTAGATTATAAAATATAGTAATTAATTGAATGTGTTTATTTTCTTTTAGAATTTGTTTTCACATGTGAAAATATGTTAATAACAGTCTGTATTTAACACACCATACATATTACTTATAAACAGAACATTAGGCAATTCTTAGCAAATGAAAGGCAATGGTATTTCTTACAGTATTTTTTTTAAATGTGATACCAAGCTTACCTTTTCCTTTATCAAGCTCATTGCCAGGAGCAGTCCATGAAAGGTGAATTTGATCTTCTTTGTATCTAGCATTAAGGTCTGTGATTTTACCAGGTGGGAACACAGTCGTAATTTTACCAGGAGGAGGAGCTCCAGATACAGTAAACGATCCTCCAGAGGTTAGTCTATTGAAGTCTTCAATTTCTGTCATGTCAAGTTTGACTTCAGGTCTAGGTGGATTCAGTATAATTTTACCTATCGAAAAACAATTTTAATTTTTCATAGCTTTTCTTGTAATCTCATCATGTAGCTATTGAGGGTTAACTTTGATAATGGACTTTGATAAAGTAATAGCTTTTATGAAAAACAAATGTTTTATTAGTGTCATTTAAAAAGTGACTGGGAGATATTATTGAGATATCACTGTATATATGATGAGGAGACACCAAAATTACCTTTTAACCTTACATGTATTCTCAGCTTTATTATAAATTCTTTGAGGAAAAGAATGGCATTTTATCATTGGAGCTACAGCATCTAACAATATTTGCCATATAAAAGGTGCTCCATAAAGTTGTTTTTACTTTAAATGAAATTAAGTGCAGAGGATGTTATCAAAACACATGGTAGCATATTCCTATGCTAGATCCACTATTATAAATATAGTTTTTAAACATATAAGAACATAAATATGTTCTCCATAGTACATTATATTTTCAATGCTTGTCATATGTAATTTATGAGAACAATGATACATTTCTTTTAAAATGTTTTTCATTATTAATTTATTGAAGTAATATTGAATTATAACATTCTATAAGTTTCAAGTTTTTATCACTGAGAATTAACAGACTTGTTTTTATTTCAATGCCTCTTACCATTTTCAACATAGCCTGCTACATACAAAGCTCGGTTCTGTTGTCTCAAACTTAGTCTAGTTGTATTTTTTCTTGCCTGTGCACGTACTTTTAAACTGTATCTACCATTTCCATGGAAATCTGTAAAATATCTTGAGTAGATGCCATCATTCTTGATAGTATCAGCACCTGGATATTGAAATGCAATAATTAGTTGTCCAATAGAGTTAAAATGATTAATTCCAACTGCTTGTGAGCACAAGTTAGGGAGCGAGCACATTTAGGGAGCTAACATAGCCCAGTGTTTTAAGTACATGAATCCTGGGATCAGGCTTCTTGTGTTCACATCTTGGCTTGACCACATGTTAACCTTTGGTCTTCTAAAAGTCTAATACATGATAAACTCCTGTCAGTATTAGTTACTATTATTTCATAAAGGAATTTTACAAAATAAGGACACTAAAAGCTGAAGAAAGTATGTGCAAAACTTTTACATTATGAAAATAAAGATGTGCACTCTGAGGTTCTTTGGGAAAAGCAAAGTTTTTCATAAAATTTAAGGGAGATGTGGAATCTAGTTTTGAGTCAGACATACTCCATCTTGAACCTAAGCTGCCATATTGAGACTTCTGTGTGGGAAATAGGTAGCCTGACTCAATTGCCTATAGGCAATTGTGAAAGAACACCCACCCTATTTCTCCTTATTGATGAGTATAACAAAACAGCAATACCCTGTTTTCTCCTTATTAATCAGGAAAAAAACAGGAAAGCCATTTGCTGATTATTCCAGGAGACTCCACACTGTAGCTTTGTCTGAAGACTTCTGCCAGTCAATACAAATTTCAAACAAATGACCTAAAATTTAGACTACTTTTCTCCTGATCCTTTAAAACTCCCCATTGTCCTAACCCTGGAGGGGCACACCCTACGACTGCCCTTTCTTGTGGACCAGAACCATGATTCTTTTTCTGAAATAAACATTTTTTGATTATATTACAATCTGGTTATTTCTAAGTCAACAAAGATAAGTGCACTGAAGGCTATAGCTAATCAATGTAACTGAATCAAAAAGGTTTAAAAATAATACAGTTAAATTTAATTCACTTAAATATAATATTTTAGCATACATAGGAACTATCAACTTCTAAGTCATATGACTGTTATGTGATTTTAATTTCAGTGGGAGTTGATACAGATTCTTATTACCTGCACCATTGTCCCAGAGTTCCAATGTTACTTGATGTCCATCTTCATTTTCTATAATGGCTGTTACGTTCATTCCCAGAACAGGCAAAAACCCTTGACTGACTTGTGCATACACAATTATTGGGCTAGGGTATTGTGCTGTATTCTGACTCATGTGAGCAGTTGCAATTATTGGAAGTGTGGTAGGACTTCTTGCTCTAGTGGTTACTGTTATTGATAGCAACTGAGATTTGGGATGTTTGTTTCGAAAGCTGTAAGTCCAAGTGCCTGTCTGAAAATAAAAAAATACTACTTGAAAATATGTGTATGGTTATCCTGGTCCTTGTTTGGAATATAAATCATTTAGAAATTTAAACAGAGTAGTAATAATTTTGACACACAATTTTATGAGCTAGTAAACGCTATAGATATGAATTTCAAATATTCTATTTGGCTTTATTTTTATAACAAATGATCGTCACTGTTTTAAAATTGACACTTTATAAGATGTCATTTTTCCCCCCTCTCAAAATCAACTGACAGCATGGAGAAAAAAACAGAATATTCTTACTTCTGCAACACCTGGTATTCGAAGTCGGGCTGACCGAATATTTAGTTTATCTTCTTGGAAGTCTGAGGTTCCATATGTCTTTCCTTTTGGATCTTGAAGGAGAATTTCTGGCTTTTGTATTGTCCATGTGACAACAAAAAAAGTGTCACTTCCAATTGTATTATCCACAGGCACGGTACCATTTATCCATTTCCTTGTTGGAATATTAAAGGCTTTACTTTCCAACTGTTCCATAAATAAAAACAACAAACACATAAACCTGATTTGTTATCAGTTAATACAACTTTACAGTTTAATCAGTTCAGAGTAGTAATAAATTTAAAGACTCATTAAAATAATATTTATTGTGAAGAACATTGTAAATAAAAGTCATATATATAAAGAATTGCTGTTAATGGAAGAGCAAATTCAACAAGGATGTTTTTCTTCTGCACAGCTAAAATGTTTTCAGTTAAAACATTTCAAAAGAATTAACTGTTAACTAAAGGAGCTAATAGAATAATAGACATTTATTATAGATATGAAAAAGCAAAGAATTTTTCTCATATACTGACCTGAAGAGCTTGCTGAGTGATGTTACCATTTCTAGATGAAATTCTACTGAAGGCATCAATAAGTCCATTTACATCTTTATTGGCAAAAAAAGAATGCCCTCCTAAAATGGAATGTTACAATATTAATTTTAAAAGAGAAACCATGTGGTCATTATGTTCTTATAAATGTACTTTATATTCTTAAATTTCTTTTCAACTTACAAAAGATTAATCTCCATAACCTTAGGGACATTTAAGAATCCCAGATATAATTCTACAGTAACTACAAGCTTGCTTAAAATAAATTAGAATGAGCAAACTTAAAAGAACTGGTCAAATATTGTCTTTCTATCAGTCAGTCATTTACTGTGAGGGCCATATTAGTGAAGCTGTTCTAATCATTATATCATGTTATTAAAATTAAATTTAGGACAATGCTTTTGAACCAGCTTATGTTCTAGTTATGTCTCAGGTAGAAGAATTAGAAAATGACAAATTAGAATAAGGTAAAAATTAAGTGCATGAAAATAATAATACAGGATCAATATATAGATGACTTAGGTGTAAAGAGTTAGAAAGAATGAAGTAACATATGGCAAGCACTAGTAATAAGGACTCTAATTTTGGGCAAATTTTATTCCTATTGCTATACTTACATTTCCTTATCTGTGAAACCTATCTGAATCTCTACTATATGAATGAGCCTGGGTAGATGATGAGCAGGAATTTTGGAATTGCCATTGTGTAAATCATTAGTTACATTGAACAAAGAATTTTTCATTTTTGGTGGTTTTGGTAGAAAGTGTGAGAAATGAGTGAAAACAATAAATGTTTAATAATATTAGTATACCTAGTATGATTCATGTGAAAGCCAGGTCCAAGGAAGGGACAAAGATTAATAATTAGAATAGGAAATTTTGGAGCAGTTTTGTAGAATGAAAGGAACAGTTCCTGGAATGGGAGATACTAGATAAGAATTTTTGTGTTCAAACAGTATTCCAAATGTTCACCTGTCATAACTGAAAGGCTCTCCAGTTCTTTGGCAGCAGAAGGTCCCAGAGCAATGGTGTGGACAATCGCACCACTTTGTTTTACCTCTTCAAAGCATGACGTTATTTGATTATCTTCCCCATCTGTTAGTAATATAATTTCAGAACCAGAAGTGCTCTGGCTATTGGTCATAGTTATTACCTAAAATAGAAAACCAGATTTTTGATTATAGGATTTCATGTCTAAATAAATTTAAATTAAAAAAAGTCCATTTTTAAGTCTGTGCATCAGAGTAGTCCAAGGAAAATGTTTGCCATGTGAATCCAGGATGTGTTGGCGTGTTGATGGTGTAATGTAAAATTTTTTAAAAATAGATTTTCAGACAGATTGTTAACAGTGCTTCTAATCTATTCAAATGTACTCTAATTACCAAGCAAGGAAGAGTAAAACACCTGGAATGATATTTGGCACATAGTAAGTACTCAGTGAATGTTAATTGTTACTCTAGCAGGTACTTGGGGTGCAGGCACATGACCTAGGCAGTTTTAGAAGTCTGCACTCCAAATGGCATTTTGAAAGTCATCTTTAAAGACTTTTTTAAAAAAGAGTTAAAAGATGGAGCATATGTCTCTCTATGCATTTTAGTTGATCACTACTGAAAAACCTTAGAATTTCTTGAAACAAAACAAAACACTGAAGTTCATAAATTGGTCAAGTATTACAATTTTTTGTAGCCAATACCAAGATACCAATATTCTTGTCTTATAACTTTTGTTATACAACTTATGTACTTCAGGAATGTACTAGTAGACTGACCATCCTCAGAGAGATTCTGGCTGTAAACAACAGACAGTAGAAGATTTAAAAAATATATATTTAAATGAACTCATGACCCCTTTTCAAAGATAATTGGACAAAATAAAAGCTAGAGTAAATGGCAGATGATATAAAAAAAAGCATTTTTATTTTACCTGGAATCCTGTTCTGAGTCCACTGCAAATTGAAGTTCCTCCTGCGGCTTTTTGAGGCAGTTTTGCAGAGATGCTTTGGTAATCATCATCATCAGTTAGCTTTGTCAGATAGCTTTGGATTTTAGCAGAACTTTCAAATGTGACCATCCCAACCAAGGTTCCCTTTTCAATAATTTGAATCAAAAATAATTCTGCTGCTTGATTCATTAGATAGAGACGGTTGTCCTGTAAGAAAGTGGATGTGTAAACAATTCCCAGGTCTGCTCAAAATTGGGCAGGTTGGTAAAAGACAGTTTTTCAAGACCCGGATATAATAAATTGTTACTGTATTTTTAAATTAAATTCCTTCATTTTTATTAAAAAATAATATTGGAGACATTAAAAAAATCAGTCATTTTATTTAAACGGCTCGATCTCTTTTGTAACAGCCTTATATTTGGGACTTTCTCCTAAGGAAATCGTCTTAAAATGCATAGAGGTATTCATTGCAGCATTGTTTTTAAAAACAAAAAGCTGAAAATCTCCCAAATATTCAATATCAGGGGGGTTATTGAAGTTAAGGTGTAAATATGATGCACACATTAAAAATTATGTCAGGGAATCATTTTTTTACATGGGGAGTGTTTAAGTACAGTAAGTTAAAAAACATAAAACACCTAAAATGTAATCATGGGCCCTCTCTGGTGGCACAGGAAGTTAAAGCCAAAACTGCAAGCTGAGCTGCAGCTGCTTCAGTGTGAATTCAATCCTGGTCCCAGAGGTGACCCACATGGCGCGGCAGACCTCTCCTGACTGTCCACTGCGCCCCTCAGCAGTGTACTTCTTCAATCTGCCTGTTCTGCTCCCCATTCTGTCTCTGGTGAATCCTCTCTCTGCCTCTGCACCTCTGGCCTGTACCCCAGTTCTATATGCAAATAAATAAATAAATAAAATCTTAAAAAAAATGTTAATCACATTTTTTGGGCAGGAAAAAGATACACACAAAAAAAAATGTCTAAAAAGGACATGATTAGTGATGGAATTCTAGCTGTTTTCCTTTTGTTCAATTATTTATTATTAATTTCTTGTCAGAATTAAAAGTTAGGGTAAATATCAATAATCTGATGACTTTGACATAGGAATTGTTTTTATTTTCATGTTATCTTCTAGAACATATCCATATAAAATTTTATACTAAAATTTATGGGGATAATAAATATATATATATATTTCAGTTTAGTATAATTAAACTTAAGATTAAATTATATCCTACTAACTTAATACTTAAGGTAGGCATGTTAACAAATAAATGACTTACTGTATCCATGCTTCCAGATGTATCAAGTACCAAGCAAACTACACGCTCTTTGGATTTGAGCAGTGAAAATGTGGGGTGAGGTGGTAGATTTGTTCCTGTCATGGGAGAGGCTTTCTTAAAATCATCAGAGTCCATGATTATGTCCCATGTGCTTCTGCGATTGCACATTTTATTTTGTAGGTTAGGAGCATATGGGTTGTGTGTCTTTTTTGTGCAAAATTCCATCACCTGAAATAAATAAATTAGAAGATGAATTTACATGAATTCATTACGTGTAACTTTCCTTTCCAAATATGCAGTTAGCTCTCATACATGTTCTCCCCAGATTTTATCTCTAGACATTTAAAAAAACTTCATAATTTAACATTCTGATAAGTATCTGCATACTGAGTGGAATGGAAGCAAGACAAAACATCAAAATGCACTGGATTTTTTTATTTTTAGTTTTTAAATTTTCTTACATTGTTGTAATCCCCATAGTTCTTATGCCACCATATCACCTGTGAAACATCACCATATTCCCTAGTGTTCTTTTCTCCCCTGTTGTGACCTCTCTTTCTCTCCTTCCCTTGCTGTATATCACAGCCCTATGGTCCGCTTGCTAGATTTTTCTTTTTTGCTTGGTTTCTCTATATTCCTCATGTAAATGAGATTATCCGATATTTGTCTTTTTCTTTCTGACTTATTTCAGTTAGCATAATCCTTTCTAGCTCCATCCATATTGCTGCAAACGGCGGCACGAATTTATCATTTTTGATCTGAGTAATATTCCAGTGTGTAAATATACCACAACTTTTTGATACACTCATCTATTTTGGGACATGTGGGTTGTCTGCATGTTTAACGATTGTAAATAATACTGCAGTAAACATCAAAGAACAGGTTTCCTTCTGAATTAGTTGTTATGTATCCTTAGGGTAGATTCCTAGGAGTGGAATCTCTGGATCATAAAAATGTTCAACAGAACATTTTTAGTGTTCTGAGGTATCTCCACACAATTTTCCATAGTGACTAGACCAGTTTACATGGAAAGTTTTTAAATGATTCTTTTAGGTAAAGTTTGATCACAGCAGCAGGTAGTGGTGGTGCTTGACACAACTTGTTAAATTTCTACTTTCTGTTCTAGAGTTGGGGATGCTTATAAGTGGCATAAAAAGAATAGACTTCTTTAATTGTCTAAGGATTTTCTTTTTTGTGTGCATGTAGTGATAAAAATTTTCTAAGCTTTATTAGAAAAGCCTAAGACCATCATCTGGCATATTTTAAGTTAATTTATTTATACATATTTTACATCAACTAGTGAGAGTGGCATGAAGGACAGAACAGGTCTGTCAGCCAACAGAAAAACCAACAGCTCAAATGGGTATAATGTTAGTTGTCAGAGAGATGAAACCTGAATCAGCATATCAGAGGGGCAAGAACATGCTGTAGAGGATGAGCTAGAAAATTGCATTTTTAGGCAGAGAGAGGTCAAACAAGCCTGCTGAGCGTAAGTATTTTCTAACTCTTCATAGTTAATTGAAAAAATTGGGGGCAGATATTCTAACAACCTGAAATGTTTTTGGATCTTTTGAGTCAAATAAATAAAATAATACTCCTGAAAATAAAAATGTAGAGGAAATAGGATTTTTCTCTTTCAGCAGCAAATCATGAGTTATATCCAAAAATTCTGCTAAGCAATGTATCATTATTATAGAATCTGTGAAAAATCTCATAAGTTTTGAAATTTGGTAACTTGAGAATATAGTCCTATAAACTAAGGTAAACATTCAGAAAGGAAAATGCTCTTCAAACTCAGAGTCTTCAGATAGATGCTGAGATTTAGACAAACTAAATTGTTACCGATGTTTTAAGGATTTATATTCCTTCTAATGTTTTTCATTTACATCTCCCAGGAGGGGTTATCTTTGATGGGGAAAGAAATACAATTTTTAATTAAAGAGATGATTCATAAGACAGTCTTGCTGATAGGAAATTCCCATCAAATCTGGTTCCTGTTTTCTTCCTGCCTTCAGGTCATCTATTTTTATAGTCTTCTACTGTTGTCCCTCCCACCACTATTATTTCACTCCTTTTGTCCTTCACAGTTAGTGGGATTATCATCGTGTATGGAACTGCTTGTCCACCAGTTTGATGCTAAAATAAAATCCAAACACTTTAGCTACATAGATCCTAGTTTTTTGTTACAACCTCATTTCCTGCCTCTTGCTACCATGTATCTATTCATTACCTGTTAGAGAAAGGAGTTACATTTAGGATAATAGAAATTTATTACACATATGAAAAAGCAAACATTTTCCTGTCCTCTGAACATGATAGAAACTTATTCATAAGAGTCTCCACTAACACAATGAAAAAAACAAACAAGAAACTGTTCAAAATAGAAAAAGTTGCCTCTTGTCTAAGTTCCCTTATAGCTATTAACCTGAAAATAGTTCTGATAAATATTAAAATTTTAATGACCATGATGCATGCAATTTGGATAGTGCTCAGCTTATACAATCATGGATGGCATCCCTATATTTTCCCACTCCTTTCTGTTTGTCTAGAATATACTTCCCTTACTTCTATGGCAAATTATTACTCATTCTTTTCAAATACCAGCTTAGAGTTCATTGTTTGAAAACCATTGTTGGGCCTCTGGTTGAAGTTGTTTGGTTTAAGTTTATATCTGCTTTTACTTTGTGTTGCATACATAGTTGTCTTAGAGCTCTACCTTACTCGAAAATTGAGTCACAAAGAACAGTTAATTACATCTGTGTTTCCATGTCCTAACAGTAGTGTGGGGCATGAAGTGGGAATAATGAAAATTAAGGGAAAGAAGTCATGGAATTGACTTCAATATTGCACCTCTCTTCTGAGTCTGAAACTTTTTCCTGGGTACAGATGTCATACAATATATTTAATCTGTGTTATGAAATTGAAAGCGTTTATCTGGATAAGATATATGATTAAAATACAGTATTTCTGAATCATGTCTTATATAATCAGTTACTGTCCATATTTCAGCTATGTAATCATCATTGCTATGTCTTCTCGGTAGGCAGCAGACATTTTCTTCTCATAGTCAAGTTTGCTACAAACGATTATTCTGATGATCCTGTTTAATCATATGAGTTGATATCTATTTGGATGGTAAATTCTTGGCTAACCTTTGCTGAACCAGATATAGCAGATTAAAATGAACTTTCTAGACCTATGTATCAAATATTTTCAAGAGGGAGTTTTATAAGGTTGGAAAACAATTTCATCTTAAATATCTTGTTCTGTTTAAGAATTTTAGAAGAAAATACCATCTGTGTTTTTGTTCATCATTAATACCTTTGGCTTCAAACCAACTTTAAATTTTATCATAAACTATAGGCCTTTACAAATCTCTACCTGTGGAAGTATTTGTGCTAGTAATTCGGTATGTGAAAATTTGCTCCTTTTAATTGAATTAGTCTAATTATCTAGAGAAAGCATACTTCATTTTAATTTGATGATTTTGAAAATGTTTATATAGTTCACATTTTAAGATCTGTCTTTACGTATTTTGAAACTTTCATTAGGTAACTACAATATGTATATATATCCAGAGAAAGTGACAATTGTCTGTTGTCCAAATATCTTTTAAATTAAAAAAATTCATAATTTATTCTGTACTCACCTTGTGTCAAGTATATTTTACTTATATTAGCTCTTATAATAACAGTGACATTGTTAAGTGGGTATTATAATTCCAAATTTAACTATATAGAGAGCCATAGCTCAGTTTACTGATAGTGGCAATTTATCTGTAGCTTGGTAATGATGGACTGATTTGTAATATCAAGTCTACTTAATTCCCAGAAACATGTCCTTATCCACTGTATATTATATGTTTACACGAGCTAATTCAGGTTACATGTTAATTTTGGAATATGAATTATTGTTTTTTAATTGGTTGGACTGGAGATTATGTTCTTTTTCCCTTCAGTTTGTTCTGTAGTGACAAAGCCATGTATATATATTCATAAAATCATTTTGCAATGAATTGGTGTACTTTCATGTGAAGATAATGGAAATGTAAAAATGTCAGAACTTTCCAAAGATACATAATGAGCATTTTTGGAAAAGTAGTATGGCTAACACTTAGATGACAGAATTAGAGGAATGTTGTAGTTCTGGACACAACAGAGTTGAAATAAGGGAAGGGATATTATAGGACTTTATCATGTGACTTCACTTCTACATCTGAAGAAAAGGAACATGTTAATAGGAAAGGGTGAAATGATTTTCAGACATATCATCAAGCAGGCTGGAGAAAATGACAGTTAAGTTGTTTGAGTAATTTTCCTTATTTCTACTTGTATACATAATTTTTATACATAGAAAATCGAGCTTCCCTAGTTAATTTTCTCCTAAGGGTTATTTTGTGACATTAGGAAAGAGGGTACTTACAGAGTCGAGACTTTGCATAAACATTATAGAGCCCTTTGCAGCCTGGTTTTTATCCGGGATGAATATACATTTTGCTTCATACAGTCCTGTCTTTGAATCATATTTGCATTGCCTTGGTATACAGCTGCCTCCCTGACATTGGTCAGGAACTCTATTAATACCAGTAATATCAGTTGAACATCTATAATGAAAGAGTTAGGTTGTACTTACAGATGAAGACTAGTCAAAACAAGAATAAATACTAGCTCCTAAAATTGTTCTTCCAAAAACAATTGCCATAGATCATTCAGCAAACATTTCATTTAGATAAAAGTATGTACAATCTCGGGCCCTCCCTTGTGGCGCAGCGGGTTAAAGCACTGCATTAAGAAGCTTAAGCCACTTCCGCATAAGTTCGATCCCCCGCCTTCCCCGAGGAGATCCACATGGCGTGGCAGACCTCTCCTGACCCGCCCGCTGCTCCTCTCAGCAGTGTACTTTGATCATCTGCCTGTTCTGCTCTCCACTCTGTCTCTGGTGAATCCTCTCACCCTCCGCATCTCTGGCCTGTACCCCAGTTCTGTATGAATAAATAAACCTTTAAAAAAAAAAAAGTATGTACAATCTCATATCTACCATAGATTTTCACAAGAACAGTGACATCAGTTCATTTTATTAACATTAGTTGCTTGCTAATGTAGTCCATAAATCTATTATCCTTGCAACAAAGATGGTAATTCCTAACTCTTAGAAGTTAGAGATTCTTCCTAATGGGGAGGAGATAGTCAACACACTTATTAAAACTATTTTAAATTTCTATGTATGATATATATGGTACTTGGTATATACATGCAAATTTATACATGCACAAACACACAAATGTGTTGCTATGTAGATGTATGCATACATACATGTGTACTATATGCATATGAAGTCTGAAAAACCACATATGCATTTATAACATTTTGCAATCCATTTGGTCTTTTTTTAAGAGCATGTATGATTTTATTAATAAGTAGCACTAATGTCAGTAATAATTTTAAACATTAAATGTTTTTAGACATCTATGTTTTTGCTTTAATGTTGTGCATTTTGGCCTCTATGGTACTGCAGTTAAACATGTGAAAATATTTCCCTTTCCATGTACAAGGTGTGTGAAGGGTTCAGATTGCTGGGGAACTTTTTACATGGTTCCAGGGATCCTTTCAGTCTTTAGTTTCCCCACAGCTACCATCAATGGCTATTTGCTCTTTGCCATCTGTCATATTGCTCTCCTTTTCCCAGGTGCTTCCATAGGAATTTGGGGCCATCTGGTCTTTAGGATAATTAAATAATTGTCATGTCTTTGATAGGGGTGGGGGAATAGAGTATGGGTTAAAAAATTTTAATATTTTAAAAGATTTATTTATGCATACAAGAGCTGAGGTGTAGGTCAGAGGTGTGGGAAGATGAGAGGATTCGCCAGAGAGTGGGGAGCAGAGTGGGCAGATGTACTGAAATACACTGCTGAGGGTAACAATGGGCACAGCAGGAGAGGTCTGTTATGCCATGTGGGTCAGCTCCCTGGCTAGCTGGGAAGCAAACTCTGTCCTGCAGTGGCTGGCCATAGTTTAATAGCACTCTTTAACCCCTGTGCCACTGGGGACGCCAGGGTAAAAAATTCTAAAGAATTTCTGTTTATCTATAGGATTTACTCTCATTTTGTACTAATGAACTTTATAACATTAACCCACTTTTATTTGTTTGTACTGCAAGAATTAAAAGAGTGAGTAAGCCATATCTTCCAAGAGGATTAGCTTTAGCGTAAGCCTGAAAGTTAATCTTATATGGCTTCAAACAAAGTGCTTATCGCACGGTAGGAGTTCAGTGTATGTTATTTTGGATACTAATTTTTTACCAGTATATCTCTTTTTATGACTAATAAGGAAACTCATTCATTTATCAAAATTTGTTGTTTGAGGTCTCCCTGGTGGCCTAGGGGTTACATCTCAACACTATCATCATTATAACCCGAGTTTGATCCCTGACCAGGGAGCTGACCCACATGGCACAGCAGACCTCCCCTGTCTCACCCATATCTCCCCTTAGCAGTGTATCTCAGTAGATCCTGCCTGTTCTGCTCCTCATCCTGTCTCTGGTGAATCCTCTCAATTGCCTCACCTCTGGCCTATAACCCAGTTCTATGCAAAACAGAAAAAAAAAATGTTTTGTACATTCTTTGTTTAGTTTTACTTACTAGGTTGGGAGTTAATGGTTAAAAAAAATCAGTTTTCAAGGAACTTAAAATCTAGTGGGGATAATGTAAAATTGTATAATTACTGCCCACTGTGAGAGACGCCCAGGCCTATTGATCTCAAAACACTCTCAAGAATACCTAACCTCAAGTGGAAGGAGAGGAAGACATTCAAGTGTGTCTTTAAGGGTGAACACACTTTGTTTGGATAAGGGGAGCTAGTGCTGGGAAGAACACTAGCATGGGATGAGGCGAGAGAAAGGAGTGTCCTAGGTTGAGAGCCCAGTTTGTGTGAGATTCACGGTAGTACATAGAGAAAAAGAAACAGCACAAAGGAAATGTGGACAGGCACTTTTCAAATACCTCTCCTTCCTCTATTGTGTCATTTTTTTTTTTTTAAAGATTTATTTATTTATTCATACAGAACTGGGGTACAGGCCAGAGATGCGGAGGGTGAGAGGATTCACCAGAGACAGAGTGGGGAGCAGAACAGGCAGACCGACGAAGTACACTGCTGAGGGGAGCAGCGGGCGGGTCAGGAGAGGTCTGCCACGCCATGTGGTCACCTCCGGGGCAGGCGGGAATCGAACTCATGCGGAAGCGGCTTTAGATTCTCAGTGCTGTGCTTTAACCCGTTGCGCCTTCAGGGAGGGCCGTATTGTGTCATTTTTAATCCCAAAGATTTATTTCCTTTTACACTGAATTCTTTTGTTCTTAAATACTTTACATGCTTGACATTTTTAATATAAAGGTTTAAATGTGTCGTCTATTCATGAATAGGACCTGTCTAAATCCCTCCAGAATTATATTTATTAAAAAAATCAGTTTACTCTCATTTTTATGGGAAATACTTTTTTCTTTAAGCTCAATGTTAAAGGAAAAGTAAAATATATTTAGCATCAAGTTCTAGTGATTGATTTCAAAGAAATGGATTCACCTTTAAAATTATGAAACAAATGGAATAAAAGTTTGTGTGAAACCTGAACGCTAATTCTTAGATATGTTAGAGTTTAGGCTCTAGTTTTTTTCCTTTTTCCCTTAGCAATTTCCTATTTTAATATATTCCTGTTTATTCTTAATTACTAGGTTGAATCCCTAGAAATAGTTCGTTACATACATAATAGGGTAGACGGGTAGAAAGTGAAGAGATTTAAAGCAAATCTGTACCTTGTTGCTTCAATAATTTGCTTCCTGGAGAAGTAGAATGGCTGGTCCTCATTATACTCATCAAATACTCCCCACCGTAGGTGTGCCCACTCATGGACAAATATTCTACCTATGAGAGAATGTTGCCACTTGTAAATTTATATTTGCAGTATTTTAGTACAGTTTCCTTATATTTTAATTCTCCCTGCCCTATTCCCTTACCCCCAATCTAATTAAATAAAGGAACTCTAGAAATTGATACCTTTTGTTAAACTGAAAATATTGACATGGTAAACAACCAATAAATGTCCTATTTCATTATTAAACACACACATTTATGTACACATGCAAGGAAATACATTTATGTATATTTTCAAACAATAACATTAGTTAACACATATTTTTCTCTTTTATAAATTTAAAAATACCCTTGATCATAGTGTTATATATTTTTTTCCAGTGAAAATAAAGATAGAAGTATAGAATAGTTATCCCTACCGTGGGGCCCATAGATAAGCAAATTATTTTTCAACAAGAAGTTCGGAGTGAAATGTATATATCGTCCTTTTTCTCCACATTGTCCATATTGAAGTGTGTAGGGTACATCTCCGTATTTTAAGTAAGGATTAGCAACTATGACATCTGCCTAAAAAGCAGAAGAACAAACCAAAACAGATTCCAAGAGCAAGAGAAAGAGAAATAAAGGATTATTTTGGTCAAAATCAAGAAAAGCTGTATCACTAAATCACTAAAGTAAGTGATTAGTAATTACTATGTTATGAGTATTAGTTTTTTAAAAGCATGGGGAGAAAACAGTAGTTTAGGAACTAATGAAATATACTACCTGCTCATATGATTCTTGTTTTGGCATTAAGTACTCAGATTTTGACTTCCATGTCACTGGGATTAAAATGCTCACACTCCTGAAATAAACTCTTCGTTTGGTAGCATGAAATAGGTATGTAGAAGCTTCGGTTACCATTTCCTAAGAAAATGAAAAATACCTATGGTAATAATTTCACAATGAACTGAGCACAATAGTTTATTGAGCAAACCACAAAGCTACAAGTACAATCTGTCTCCTTATCCCAAGAATTTTGGCAAAGACAAACTGAAAAATAGGTTGAATTTTATTAATTTCTCTAAGTGTTAGAGCTTCCTATTCACATATGCTCAAAAACAGTTAACTCAAGGGTTTTTTTTTTTTCTTTTTTAACCTATTTATATTTAGACCTGCATTTAACTCTGTGAGTTAGAGCGGGAGGTGAGGACACTAAGATAATTAAGTAATTAAGATAATTAAAACTGGGCTCCGGTTGGCAAGTTGCTTTCTTAATTAAATAGAGGTATTTATATTGGCTGGGCATTTAAGTTTCATAACTTGTATTCTTTTTTTTTCCTTTTTCTTCCTGATATTTATTCTTTAGATTTGAAAAAATATTTTGCCTTGACCATCTTACAGGGTTATTGGGAGTATGAAAAAAGATAGTATATTTTGAAGTGCTTATAAAAGGTAAATCAACTTTTTAAATGCTTAATTTTTCTTCAGATCAGATACATAAGAGTTTTGAATTTTTCAGAGCTGCACAATTATGAACTGAAAAGTATGTAAGTTAATGAATCTTTAGGGCTCATGTGTAGATTACTTATTTATAAAATAAATAAATATTTTCTCTAATGAGAAAATAACTATAAGGGTTAAAGTTTAAGAAAATAACTATAGGGTTAAAGTTTAAGAATAATTCTCCTCTAACTCTAAGCTTTTTGTTAGCTTAATCATTTGAAAATATAGCAGTTGCTAAGCCTTTTACTGACTCATTAGGAGAATGATGCTATTTATATATGATAAAACATATTTACACTGAGAATATACTAAACTTGAGAGCTTAGATACATGCTACAAAAATGATGAATACTGCTATCAAAGCAAGTTATGATTGTGTGAGTGGATGTATGTGCCTAAGTAATCTGAACTTAAATATTTATTAAAATAAAAGTATAATATGTAGGTAATAATTTTTTTTCTCTTACCTTTAAGCTTTGAATGAGCCTTTCATCTTCTGGTACTCTAGGGTCAATTGCAATGACAATGCCTTCATATCCATTGTTACTCAAAGTTATCATAGAACTTTTCACTTCAAGCAAGAGATGTAAAGCTAGGAACAGAATACTGAACACCATTTTTGCAAATGTTACAGTAAGCCTTTGGAAAAGAGCTTATGTATCAGCTTAATTCAGGAAGTTGACTCTCGACCAAAACATTTGCATAAGCATAATTAATTGCTAAAATATTTTGATGAACTTCCTTATTTTTATCATTGTATTTGAGATATAGTTGTTAAAGAAAAACAGAGATTATGCTGAACACATCATACTTCCAAAGACAGATAAAGCTTTATGTACTCATTGAGCAATCCTTTTAGATTGCGTAGTCCATTTTGGAGAGGTGCCTATTTAGTTCTTCAGTCCATTTATATCTGGGTTTTTTGTTTTCTTTTTGTTAAGTCTGAGTTCTTTGTACTATACATCTTTGTAATTAGCACCTTGTCAGCTTTTTGATGTGCAAATATGTTCTCCCATTCAGTAGGGTGTCTTTTAGTTTTAGTGATGCTTTCTTTCACTGCCAGATCATTTTACTTTGATATACTCCTGTTTGTTTATTTTTGCTTTGTTTTCCTTGCTATTGGAACTGAGTCCTCATAGATGTTCGTGAAACCAATGTCATGGAATGTTTGCCAGTGTATTTATGATTTTAAATTTTGCATTCAAGTCTTTAATCCATTTTGAATTAATTTTTGTATATGGTATAATATAGTGATCTAGTTTCATTCTTTTACATGTGATTGTCCCATTTTCTCAACACCATTTGTTGAAGAGATTCCTTTCTCCAATGTGTACTCTTGGCTCCTTTGTCGACTATCCATATAATTGTGGGTTTATTTCTGGACTCTCAATTCTATTCAATTAGTCTGTGTGTCTACATTTATTCCATTACAATATTGTTTTGATCACAATGGCTTTGTGTTATAGTTTGAAGACTGGGAGTGTAATATCAATATTTTTCCTTCTTTTTCTAGGATTGCTTTAGCAACTCAGAATATATTACACTTCCATATGAATTTCAATAACATTTGTGTTCTATTTGAAGAATGCCATTGATATTTTAATGAGGATTGTGTTGAATTGCTATAGTAAGAAGGCCATTTTAACAGTATTAATTCTTCCAAACCATGGGACTATCTTTCCATTTCTTTGTCTTCTATTTCTTTTAACAATGAATTGTAGTTTTTGTTGTACAATTCCTTCACCTTCTTTGTTAAGTTTACTCTAAGGTATTTAATTCTTTCTGAGGAAAACTGTAAATGGGGTTCTTTATTATTTCTTTCTCTTCTATCTTGTTATTTGCATAGAGGGATGCAATCTTTAATTTTTTTTTGTAAATTAGTTTTGTATGCTACAACTTATTGATTTATTGTTGCTATTATTCCCCCCCCCATGGAGTCCTTAAGGTTTTATATTATATTATTGTGTCATCTGTAAATAGTGAGGTTTTTACTTCTCTCTCAATAGGATTTCTTATATATCCTCTTCTTGACTAGTTGTACTAGACAAGGCTTCCAGTGATATTCTGAATAGTAGTGGTGAAAATGGGCATTCTAGTCTTCTACCAAATCTTAGAAGAAAAGTTTACAGTTTTTATGATATTAGTTATGGATTTATTATATATGCCTTTATTGTGTTGGGATATGTTCCATCTATCCTCACTTTGTTTGAGGGTTTTTAATCACAAATGATTGTTGAATCTTTTTAAATGCTTTCTTTGCATTTATTAATATGTGATTTTTATTTTTCCTTTTTTAAAGTGGTGAATTACATTAAACAATTTTCAGTTAGTATAACAACAACCAGCTAGTCTGTGCCTTTTGATTGGTTATTTTAGCTTTATATTTTGGCCTGATTGTTGATATATGAAGATATGTTACTCCCATTTTGTCTTTAGTTTTCTGATTCTGTTTCCTTTTTCAGTTTTTTTTTTTGTGGATTTGTTTATCAAATTAAGTAGGAGAGGCCCTTTCAACATTTCTTGTAGGGGAGATACAGTGCTGGCACACTCATTCAACTTCACTTTTTCTGCAAGGCCTTTATTTCTCTCTCATATCTGAAGGAGAGTATTGCATGGCATTGTATTCATGCCTGCTAGTTTTTATTTTTAAGTATTTAGAATGCTATTCTGTTCATTCTTTGCTTGTAGGCTCTTCTCATACATACCTGATGTAAACCTGCTGGGAGTACCTTTATTGGTTACCTGCTTTTTCTTCCCTTGACCTTGTAATAGTCTTTCTCTTAAAGTCTTGATAGTTTCATTATTATATGTCTTTGTAGTAGATCTCATTACATTTAGATAACCAGTTATTTTAACTTCATGAAATTGTATATTTAGTTATTTCCCAAGATTTATGGAAAGGTTTAGTTCTTTCCCCAGGTTTTCTTCTCATATTTCTTAGAATAGATTCTCTGTCTCCTTTTCTTCCCCTCTGGACTACTCATCTATATGTTGTCTCTTGTAAGAGTCAGATAGTTCTCAAAGCGTTCTTACTTTCTTCTGTTTCTCTTTCTTCTGCTTGGATCCTCTCTGTATTATTTTCTTTAAAATTACTGATTAAACCCTCCATTGGTCTAGTCTGCTTCCATAATTCTCAACAAAATTTTTAATCTCCTTTACTGATCTTTTTACATCTTGCAGCTCCATTATTGTCTTATTTAAAACTTCAACTTAACTTCATTTTCTAGTCATTCATTATATGTCATATGGCATTGATTTGTTTTTCTGAGATACAGGTGGTGCTATTCATACTAGTGCTGAGTACATGGGTATTTGTAAAAATTCACTGCATATAACAGAATTACTTTTATGTGAATTAAGCTCTAACAGGAGAGTAGAAAAAGATATAAAGATATGATGTACTTTACTTCTTTTTAATATTTATTTATTCATACAGAACTGGGGTGCAAGCCAGAGGTGCAGGGGCCATGAGAGGCTTCACCAGAGACAGAGTGGGGAGAACAGGCAGATCAACGAAGTACACTGCTGAGGGGAGCAGCGAGCGGGTCAGGAGAGGTCTGCTGTACCATGTGGATCACCTCCGGGGTTGGGGATTGAACCTGCACTGAAGTGGCTGTGGCCAGCTTGCAGTGCTGCATCCTAACCTCTTGTGCCACCAGGGAGGGCCCATACTTTATTATTTTTTAAAGATTTATTTATTTATTTAGACATACAGAACTGAGGTACAGGCCAGAAGTACAGGGGTAGTGAGAGTGAGAGGATTCACCAGAGACAGAACAGGCAGAAAAAGACAGATCAGGCAGCTGGACAAAGTACACTGCTGAGAGGAGCAGCAGGTAAGGCAGGAGAGGTCTACTTGGCCACATGGATCACCTCCAGGTCCTGGGGATTGAACTGGCACTGAAGTGGCTGCAACTAGCTTGCAGTGTTGTGTCCTAACCTGTTGTGCCACCAGGGAGCGCCACAAACACTTTAAATACCCTAAGTTTGACTTGATACTATGCTCTCATACAAGAGACCATAATAGAATAATGTTCATTTTTTCCTATCCATTCATTAAAACAGCTATTTATTAAGAGTTTACTATGTTCCAGATCCATTGCAGTCACAAAGTGAGAAAATCAAACAGACTACCTCTCTGATAGGACTTCTATTTCAGCAGGGAAAAAAAAATAAACATTCTAATACTACGTTAAAATTAATGTATCAGATATTAAAGCTATGTAGAAAATTTTAAAAGGAAAGATATGATAGTGACTGATAGTTTCTCCTTAACAGTAGTTTGGCACAGCATGCCTCCTAACTAAAGAGAAATTTGAACTGAGATCTGGAAAAACAGGAGTGAGCATGATTAATCCAATAGAGAGAATAGAAATCCCAGAAAAAAAGAAAAATCAGTGATGTCTGGGTTTGAATGCAGGCAGCTGGGTGGGTGGATCAGTATTGATACTTGTGTAAAGGTATCAGCCTACTGATTCAGCAGGATAGAGAGGGGCTGCATTTCTCAAGTGTGAAATAAGTTTTTAGTTGCTTTTTAATGAGTCTGTTATTGAAACTGATTTAATTCCTTATAACTAATTTGAAGAATATAAATTCCTGAGAAGATGTAAGGTCATTAAAAAAGCTGGGACTACAGGAATATGTCAGGTGGAAAAAAAATGAAAATAAAATTGTACTTAGCCTAAATAGAAGCTGAAGGGTAGTTGGAGATTAGTTAAGAAATGTTTAGCCAAAGTTTGTTATTACTGTAACAATGAAGATATAGTTCAAAGGTTTTTTTTCTTTTTTTCTTATACAGGGTGTCTAAGCATTTCATGTAAAAGTAACTATTATCTTCTTTTGCCTTCTCTGGAATTGATTCCTTATAACTAATTGTCTAGAGAACAGAGTCCATACTTTCATTTAGCAAATGTTTATTTATTGAGAATGATGATGGGTATTGGGGATATAATTACTATAAGAGATTGTCTTTTGCCTTCAAGAAACTCACCATCTATAGGAAAATAAAGACAAGTAAATTGTCAATTAACAGAGTGTTAAATGTTACCTGAGGAGTAAAGTGAAATGAGTCATCTCATTAAAAGAGCTAGTGGAATTTGTAATGCTTCCCAGGGTAACCTTATTCTGAGACCTACAGGAAGAGCTGGAGCCATAGTGTGACAGCAGAACTTGGAAGATGAGGGTTGATGGGAGGGTCTTTCCCAGAGAGTGAAAAACACCTGGCAGAATGGGAACGAGAGATCCTATGAAAATTGTGAGCTGGCAGTTGGAGCCCAGTGTTTACAATGTGAGACAGCATGGCTGGGTCAGAGAGAGGTGAGCCAGAGGTAGAACATGAAAGCCATCATCAGTCATATCATGTTGCATGGCATTATCTTGAATGCACAGGAGGTTCATAGGTAGGCTTTCAAGAATGATATGCTCAGATTTGTACTCTGAAAAGACTCTGACTGCTGGTTGGAAACAGGTATGTTGCTGACACACATAATATGTCTTGAGTGGATTAGAAAAACAACTTGTGAGTTAGAAAAATGTGCCCTTCTGGGTAGACAGATGGATCAAATAATGCCCATTCATCCTTGATTTTAGGAATGAATTTGGTCTGCATTTGGTTTCTATTCTGCTTACCCCAATATGAAGATATCTTTAGGAGGATACAACCTAGCCAGTGGTTCACAAAGGCTCTGCTTGGTAAGGAATAAGCCATGTAAGAATTCAAGGGAACATTGCTGAGGGCATGAGATAAGGATAGAGGGATGGAAAAGACTTTGATATATTAGTAATTGACAGGAGTTGGCCAGTGACTAGCTAGAGGGAAATAAAAGGGAAAAGAAAGTTTGTGTATTTGTATTTGTATGTGTTTGAATATTTAGCCCTTCATTCTTTTTTCTCTTCTCTTTTATTCTCTCCCCTAACGGAAAAATAGTACCTCATATTCTCAGATTTTGTCCTTCATAATTTATTTTAGGAAAATGGAATCCTGATAGCACAGGTCCCAGACTGATGGTAAAACCTTTGTGCTCCTGCAGAATCTGAATATGAATAGATCAGTAAGGACTTTATTTTCAATAGACTTGATAAATCTCATTCAGTAACAATGAAACTTCAAAACAATTAGAAAACTTGCAATTATTACATCTTTTAATTTCACTGATATTTGCCTTTTTTGGTAGGTTATAACCTCAAAGAGGATTGAGAACACCTTTTTTGTTTATTGCTTTCTACAGCACCTAGTGATAGAGAGATTGGAAAATTATATGAACTTAATGAAGTGCCTAATGAACTTAATGAAGTGCCTGACTGACAGACAGGTGGTCCTCAGTGCTAAACTCCCTGATCTTCAGAGACAGCAGTACAGAACTTCTTAACATGAGAGCTGCCAACATTGAGCCCTTACTCTAAGTGGGCACAGGGTATACCTGCCAATATCTAATGAGATTTGTATCATATATGGAAGTGAGTAGAGCCTGCCCTATACTAAAGACAAACAAATTATAAGTCTGGAAATAACATTTTGAAATAAGTAATTTTAAAGGTTAGGAAGTTATAACCTCCTGTAGCCTGGTGGAGTAATTTTTTTGGAAAAAAAAATTACTATTATCCCATTTTTACAGATGAGAAAACTTGACTGCAGTTCAGTTTTATATCAAAGTCTATAATAAAATGAATCAGTTACAGATAGGTAGCTTTAAATATTCAATGCTTCTATATCAACAAAATTTAATGGCTCCTTATCCCACAGATCAAATTTCTCTTAGCTACATATTAAGTCTTCCGATTTCTATTCTTTCTCTGTGCTCAGTTAAGATTCTGTGCTCACATATATGTATATACACACTTTCTCTATTTACTCATACTCTATTCTTCCTTACAATGATTGTTTTTCTCTATTCTTCCTTACAATGATTGTTTTTATTAAGCTCATACAAACTCTGTATTGTTATATTTAAGGTCAACTCTGAGCTTTTGTGTTCTGTATTCAATGTTGAATGGAGTGATTTAGTTTCATTCTTTTGCATGTGACTGTTCAGTTTTCCAAATGCCATTTATTAAAGACACTTCCTTGATCTATTGTTGTAAATTAGTTGTCCATATATGTGTGGACTTATTTCTCGACTTACAGTTCTGTTTCATTCATATGTGTGTCTTTTTTTTGTTTGTTTGTTTGTTCCAATACCATGCTGTTTTGATTTCCATAGCTTATAGTATATTTTGGAGTCTGGGAGCATGATACCTCTATTTTTGTTCACTCATCCTTCAAGGATAGAATCTTGGCTAGTCATGTTTTTTTATTTTCCAGTTTTATATCATGAATTTTTACTCCCATTCTGTAAAGAATGACATTGGTAATATGACCATTTTGGCAATGTTAATTCTTCCAATCCACTAATGTGGAATATCGCTCCATTTATTTGTGTTGTTTATTTCTTTCAACAATGTCCCATAGCTTTCATAATTTTTGTTGATGCAGATCTTTCATATTTTTTGTTAAATTTATTCTGAGATATCTTACTTTTTCTTATTTGTTAAAAGTTTTCTCCAGTAATTTCTTTCAGGTAATTCATGTTTTTTTTTTTTTTTTTTTATAAAACGCAACCTATTTATTTTTATTTTTTTTTAAAGATTTTTTTTTTAAGATTTTATTTGTACATACAGAACTGGGGTACAGGCCAGAGGCTCAGGGACGGTGAGAGGCTTCACCAGAGACACAGGGGGAGCAGAACAGGCAGATGGATGAAGTACACTGCTGAGGGGAGCAGTGGGCGGGTCAGGAGAGGTCTGCCGCGCCATGTGGTCACCTCCGGGGCAGGCGGGAATCGAACTCGTGTGGAAGTGGCTTTAGCTTCTCAGTGCAGTGCTTTAACCCACTGCGCCACCAGGGAGGGCCCGTAACCTATTTTTTATATTGACCTTTTAGCCTGCCACTTTACTGTGTTTATTGTCTCTATAGCTTTTTCTTTTTACATAATGACATCTGCAAATAGTTATAATTCTACTTTTTGACTTCCCATTTGGATAACTTTTGTATCTTGTTTAATTGTTCTGTCTTGGACTTCTAATAGTACATTGAATAATAATGGTTGACATTCTTTTCTGATCCCTTATCTTAGTGGAAAAGTCCACTCTTGAGTATGAGGTTATATGTGGATTTGTCATAGATGGCCTTTATTATGTTGAGTCATGTTCCTTCTATCTCCATTTTGTTGAGAGTTTTTATCAGAAATAAATGTTGTCTTTTTTCTTTATCTTATAGCAAGGGTGAGCTATAATAACTTTGCCCATTTCTTTCCTATAATGAAAGAAGTACACAGAAATGTATGTATTTTAAGGGAAGAGGCATAGATATGTGTACACAGGGAGATCAAATAAGGGAATAGCATAATATGACAGGTGGTACTTATTTGTTTTCAAGTACTTATTTTTCACTGGAATAAGCATAACTTTAGCTATTGTAGCTTATTATTGGAGACCTTGAAAATATCAAAAATACTTAGTAGGAGCAAGATGATATTTTTTCCAAAATATTGTCTTTTGATACTTGTACTTTTACTCTCTACATAGACAGTTTTGTCTTCTTGCAGTTTAAAATATTGTTTCAGAAAATTTTGAATGAATAAATAAAATTGTACATTAGTGTTGGCATAGTTTAATATTGAATTTTGAAATAACTTTAATAATTAATTGGTTTTTAAAATTATCTCTGGAAGTTGTATTTAATCAACATATCCTTCTAAAACCTCTTAAAATTATTTTTATGATACGTAATCCAAAGCAGAAATAAAAAGTTCACAGATAACCTTCAACTTTGTCTATTTTATTAAAACCCAGATCTCCTTGCATTTCTTCTCTTAACTAATATATAAATGATGGTAATTAAAATAACACTAATAACTGTCACAGATCCAGCCACCACGGTATACATTTTTGTTCTGGAATTACGATGATTTTCATCAGGACTGGTATCTTCTTGAGGAATAAACAAAGCTACTTGTGCAATGTTGGATATTTTCGATCTCAAATTGCTTTTATCCACACTTTGAATGGCAATGAATAAGTGGGTTGTATTGTCTTCTGATTTATTTCCCATTTTAAATGCAAAGGTTTCCTTGGAGTTGACATCATTTGGTAACAGATGAGGGGATTTTACTTGCAAAGCATCATCAAAATTATCTCTTAAATCAAGGATATTTTCACTCATCCTTATGATATACTGTTGAACTAAGAAAGAAAGTTACATGTAATTTAACAGCAAGAGAATATCCTATTAAATTCATTTTTATTTACTTTCTTCAAAATATTATCTAATTACATAACAAACTCATAGTTATATTCAAAGCCTTATTTACTTTTCAATAAAAGTTGAATTCTGAGTTTCCAAACTCTGCCAAATGCTGTTTCCCTATGAAACGAGAAATCTGTTTGCTTCAGATTGATTTAAAACATAAGATTATGATTTAATACTTTACTGAACTGTTTACTTAATCAGCACTATCTATGATGACCCTTCATCCTTACCTCTTCCAACATCAAAATCATCTCCTGGTGCTGTCCATGTTAGGCTGATCTCATCCTCCTCACATGTCGCCTCAAGGTCTGTGATTTGACTTGGTGGGTACAGATCAGGCAAGGGAAGATTTGAAACATTTGCAATTACAAATGTACCACCAGTTTCTGTTCTGCTAAAACTGCCCAAAGTTGTCTGTATATCCTCTTCATTGTTAGGTATTGGTGGATTTCCTGAAAATTTCCCTGTATTAAAATAAACTTGAGTAATTTTACATGTAAATGTACAAACAGGATTTTTAAAAATAGTATATATTTATAAAAGTATAGAGCAAAAACTGTTGGTATTTTCATTTGAATTACTCACCCCACCTGTCTTTTTAAATAGTCATATTTTACCAAGTTTGATTATAAAGCCATAAGTCAAGATGGTGGAAAAGAAAAAAAGCTAGAGATAGTTTTGAAATATGAAAAAATTACTCAGTATCATTTTTATAACCTAGACTTTAGAGTATTATAACTCCTGATAATTTTTGGATATATAATCTCTGCTTGAGGAGAACTTTGGTTTTCCTCTAATTGTGTCTACCAATTACTCTTTCTATCTTTCTTATGTCATAGAAATTATATCGGTAGTTTGGTAAATCAAATGCTACCAATGCAAGTTAACACTATTCTTGAAAAGTCATGAGATTCATGGATTTTATTTTTGTACTTTCAAAATATTTTATGGGGAAATTCTTTAACACCTTGACTAGGATAGCATAGGACAAAATCAGATAATTACTTTGGAATTAATTGTTCACAGGATGTGAACAATGTAACATAATCAAGTACCTATCATACTAAATGGAATTGTTCTACCTTATGAATTATCTCCAAGCTAGAACTGAATCTGGGTAAGTTTTGCTTGTCCTCTTCTAACAAACAAATGTCTCTTTTTGATTCAAATTATAAGGATTAATACTTTGTAGTTAATATTGCAACACAGAGTATTCAATAAAGCCATAAGATAAGTACACAGATACAACTGTGTACTTTTTTTTCATGTAGGAAAACAAACATTGCATAAAATGTTCTATTTAAATTTTATGTGTAGTTAAAAGTTTTACTGTCATAGTTCATTTGGAATGCTTTAACAAAATACCATAAACTGGGTGACTATAAACACCTACCATTTATTTCTTATGTTTCTAGAGGCTGGGAAGGTTAAGATCAAGTTGCTGGCCTACTAGGTGTGTGGTAGGAGTTCATATCTTGGTGTGTAGACTGCTGTCCTTATATTGTGGAAAGCATGAGGGACCTCCCCCCGTGGAGTCATGAGGACCCTACTGTCAAGATCAAAAGGCCTTACCTCCTAATTCCATCATACTGGGCATTAAGTTTCAGCATAGAAGTTTTGCAGGCATATAATAGGTTCATAGGAGACATTAAGTAGGTATAGTTATATTGTGTTACCATTACCTATCCATCTCCAGAATTTTAACCCGGTCAATTTCAGCATTTTGAATTAAGTAACCCACTGTCCTTTGCCACCATGACTTCTGATTTAAAAAGATTAAATATGCTGGTAATCTTATTAAGGATCCTTTGTGTGTGCTGAGTTGCTGCTTCTTGCTGGTTTAAAATTTCTTGTTGCTTTTGGCTTTTGACAGTGTCTCATGTGTGGGTCTTCTGTTTATTCTACTTAGAGTTCATTGAGCTTCTTGTATTTGTAGACTAATACCTTACATGAAATTTGAGATGTTTTCAGTCAATATTACTCCAAATAATTTCTACCCCTTTCTGTTGCTCTTTTTCTTTTGAGACTAACTCTGTGGGTATTTTGATCCATCTGATGGTGCCCCACATGCCACTATACTCTTTACTTTTATTTAATCTTTTTCTTTCCTTTCCTCAGAAACAGTATTTTTAATTGTCCTATCCTCAAGTTTTCTTGAATCTACCTAGTAACTTTTACATTTCCATTTAGCTATTTTTAGTTCCAGAATTTCATCTTGGGCTCTATTTTTGTTTTCTTTTTCTTCATTAGTATTTTAATTTTGTTCATATGTTGCCTCTCACAACTTTTCCACTTCTTCCTTTAGAAGTTCAGTATCTTTTCAAATTTTGTCTAATTTTTTTTGGTGTGTACTAGTCCATCTGTTCTTCCTCGAGAACTCTACTGTTGATCTATTTTTCCCTCATTGAGTGGGTCATATTTTCCTGCTATTTTTTGTGGTATGCCTTCTGATTTTTCTTTTTGGAAATTGGACATTTGAATTTTAAAATATTTTAATTCTGAAAATTGTATCTTCCCATTTCTCTATAGTTTATGTTTCTAAATAATCATAGTCTGTTTCTGAAACAGAGATCAGCCTGAGTATAAGGTTTTATAGGTTTGCTCTGAACCTGCATCTTTCCTTAGGCATGTGTGATAATTTTATAAATGTCCTCTGTATGTAGTTGGTTTTGACTGTTCTAATAATTAAACATCTGACTCCTAGAAGTGGGAAAAAGTGAAAGGAAAGAAAAGGTCAGTCTCTTTAAACCCCCTGGAGGTTACTTCAACCAGAGAGGATGATGGTAATGGCAATTGGCTTCTCCATCTGCATCTCTGTGATCAGAAGCAATAAATAATGATATTTGGAAGACCAGATTTTATTATCTCCTGTGGATTCCACAATTCTATGCATACTGCTCAAGGAACATGGGCAAAGCTACAAGACATGGAGTTAAAAGGAAATGAACAGCTACTATGCAGTGAGGGCTGAAATCGACCAAAATTAAGTACGATTTATCATTTAAACCTTGACGTAGGAACTGAAAGTCTTCAGCTAAGACTCTAAGGTTCCAGAACAGTTACCTCAGTCACATTCTGTTGGGACTTGTCTTGGCAGAAAAATAGATTCCTGGCACTCCCTGCTGGGCTACCTTCCCTGATACCACTACACTGAATGTATTCTTAATCCTTATCATCACTTTAATCCACACATTGTTTACTTTGTATTTAATAAGGACATTCTGTGTAAATGTTCATATATATTTTATAGCTTATATAATTTGAAGAGTAAATTCTACCTGTGACTTGTACCTGGCGCTCTTCAGCTTGAGGGGAAAGTTAGGTTTAGATTTTATTATTATTTTTTTTTTACGTATTCATACAGAACTGGGGTATAGGCCAGAGATGCAGAGGGTGAGAGGATTAATCAGAGACAGAGCAGGGAGTAGAACAGGCATATTGAGGAAGTACACTACTGAGGGGAGCAGCATGCGGGTCAGGAGAGGTCTGCTGAGCCATATGGTCACCTCCGGGGCAGGCAGGGATCAAACTCATGCGGAAGTGGCTTTAGCTTCTTAGTGCTATGCTTTAAGCCACTGCGCCACCAGGGAGGGCCCAGGTTTAGATTTTTAATATGTAGGTAATGTACTTGAAACTAATTAAATGTTAGTTTGGTATTTATTGAACCATTACTAGATGACTTTCACAATTTTTTTCATGTGAAAAATTATATTTTTCATAACAAAATATGTAAAATATTAATCATATCAATTCATAATTAACCATGCTTGCACTGGATTTCAGATATCAAAAATTACTCACCATTAACTACCCTGCCAGGTATATCTGTAACTCTACTGGGTGGCTGCCTTAACCCTCGAGTGACAGTATTTCTTTTTCCATAAACCTGTACTTTCAAGCTATAGCTGCCATTTTCTGTATAAGTTGTAAAATATCTGGAGTATACACCATCATTCTTGAAAGAGTCAGCACCTTATAAAGAATGAAAGAATAAATTGTTGTTGTAAAGAAAAAGAAATTCATGCATTTTAAGAAAAACATATGACTTTTATAGACGTATCACTTCTGTGATATGTCTTATACCCATCTTCAGATTGACCTCTTAGAAAATATTTCCATTAAATCCTACCAGAACATAGTATCTTATGCTATCAACAACTAGTGTTACAAAATGGGTCCACAGAGATCATAACATATCCTAATATAGACTTATTAAGGAAAACTTATGAGTTACCTGCACCATTATCCAAAAGTTGCAAAACTTCAGGTTTTCCACTCTGTGATTCAATGAAAGCAGTCACATTGGCTCCGAGAATGGGTGTATACCCTTGCAGAACTTCTGCATAAACAATCATTGGGCTGGGAAAGCTGTTTGTGTCTTTATTCATTTTAGCATTCACTGTGATTGGAGGCACAGAAAAATTTGATGCCCGAGAATTCACAGTAATAGTTAATATTTCAGAATCTGCTTTGGCTTGAAGACTGTAAGTCCAAATACCAACCTAAAAAGTTTCAGTGAAAATAGTTAGATATCCAAGATCAATCATTTTCTGAATTTCTAATAGCAAACTCTAAAGGACATCTTTTAAATGCGATGTAGAATAAGCAGATTTTTCAGGCTTTGTACTGCACCATAGATGAGTATTGAAGCAATGAGGGCACCTTACCTAGTGTCATGCCACAGGTCTAATTCTGGTGAATCAATGGTGGAAAATATAAATCTTGAACATCTGTCTTAGTTTTGCCCTCATTCTTTGTCCTTACAGTCCACAGATCATAGAATTCTAATTGGGATTCATTCGGAATGAAGCTGTAGCTATGTACATAACAGGTTGAAAAGATTTTCCCCACATTTACTTTTTGAATTTCTTCCTACTCAGTTTGTGTTTTGCCATTTTATTCCCTCCTCCCTAAACATAACTGTTCTTTATTTGACTCTTCCCATAAAATTCTTAGTATCATTAGGGATAGAAACCATGTTCTACTTTACTATAATTTTGAAAATTAATTGTCACTCACTAATAAAAATTATATTTTATTAAATTAAAAGTTACATTTATTTATTAAGCAGTTTCTTTTCATCAGTAGAAAAAATTTTAAGAGAAGAAATCTAAATACTTATTACTTACTTTTGCAGTTTCTGGAATGTGGAGATAAGCCATTTTAGAATCTTTGTCCGTTACAAAATTTCCCACTGGTGTACCACTGGGATCCCACATAGAAATAATGGGAGGCTGTTTATCCCATGTGACAAAAAAGAGTGTATCCTTTCCCACAGTGCTATCAATTGTAATAGTATCATTCATCCAGGAATCACTGTTTAGCAATAATGTCTCACTTTCCAGCTGTTTAGAGAAGAGAGAAATTTCATTATTATTTTTTTTAATAACATTTGTAATTCCTAGTTGGAGAACAAATTTAGATATAGCATAACATATTAGGCTTATGATATCTCTGAAAGTTGCCTGGGATGTGACAGTTGTCATTCAGAAAGTGTGACAATGAAGGGGCTGAGGGAAGAATGAGGTATAATAAAATTACTGGGAGCAAGGCCATGGGCTTTATAGTTGTGCATTTCAGAGTGAGAGGGCAGAAGGGAGAGAAATAGCAAAAAGGAGCCCAATGGACTATGGTAGAGAATTTCGGGATGCCTTGATGGTGAGTATGGCATAGTAATCTGTATCTGTATATTACAGGTGAGAACCTGTCTCTGAATTACATACAGTATTGTGAACCAGTGTTACCTTGACAACAAAAACAACAAAATAATACAATACCATAAAAAATGATGAAATGTTACCACTTTGGACAATATGAGTGGTTCTTGAGAGGTTTTGATTAGTGAAGTGAGTCTGATGCAGAAAGATAAATACTGTATGATTTCATTCAAATATATGGAGTTAAAAATGAGACTAATGGACAAACAAAACAAAAACAAATTCATAGACTATAACAAATCAGGCTATATTAAACTAAACAGCTTCTGCACAATTAAAGAAGCTATCATTCAAATGAAAAGATACAGGCCCCTCGTGGTGCAGCAGGTTAATGCACAGCACTATAAAGCTATCTGAAGCCACTGTAGCATGAACTTTGATCCCCAGCCAGGGAGTGACCCACATGGTGTGGCAGACCTCTCTTGACCTACCCGCTGCTCCCTTCAGCAGTGTATTTCAGTACACATAGCTGTTCTGCTCCCCAGTCTATCTCTGGTGAATCCTCTCACTGCCCTTCTACCTTTGGCCTATATCAGAGTTATGCATAAATAAATGAATCTTTTTAAAAAATGAAAAGATACAATTGAATGGAAGAAAATATTTGCACATCACATCTCTGAAAAGGATTAATATCAAGCTCTACATAGAACTCATACAAATCAAAAAGCACAACAATAAAACCCAATCAATAAATTGGTAGAAGAACTACATAAACACTTCTTCAAAGAAAGACTCAGAAGGCCAACAAGCCTGTGAAAAATATTCATTTTCACATACCTGCAGGGAAGTGCAAATCAAAACCATGAGATACCATCTCATACCTGTAAGAATGTCCCATGTAAAAACAAAACAAAACAAACAAACAAAAATACCTAGAAGACACAAGGGTTTGCAAGGGTGTGAAGAAAAGGACTCCTATTACTCTATTGGTGGGAATGTAGACTGGTCCAATTCCCATGGAAAACAGTATAGAGATTTTTCAAAAGATTGAAAATTGAACTACTGTAAACCCAGTAATTTCACTTTTAGGTCTCTCTCTGAAGAATACAATAAACACTAATTTGAGGCATATCAGCAGTTTTATGGTCTTTGTAGTCCTATTTACAATAACAAAATTATGAAAACAAGCTAAGTTCTCAGTGGCAGACAAGTGAACTAAGAAAATGTGGTTAATGTACACAATGGAATTCTACTCAGCTTTGAAAAAAACAATGAACTCTGATCATTGATGACAATGTGGTTGGGACTCATCCTGAGAAAGAAAGATACCACATGGTTCTCTTACACGTGGAATATAAAGGACAAAACACAGGTCAGACAAAGCCAAACTAAAACAACATCTGACTGCAGAACTGAGATGGTCACAGGGGGAGCTGGGGTAGAGTAAGGTGGGAAATGGGCCCAATGGACTATGCAGAGGACTTGTGGATGCCTTGATGGTGGATCTAACTTGGTAACGGACCTCTGAAGAGGCATGAATTTATAATTCAGTATCTTATACAATATTGGGAACAAATGTTCTGTCAATAAAATTAAAAGCAAGGTGGTTACACTCAGAGAGAGGGAAAACCAGGTAGCTAAATTAAAGAATAAAAGGTCAATTGTATGGTAGAGAATGGAAATTAGACTTTTTGTGGCAATCATAATGTAATATATATATGTGTAAAATATATATATATATATTTGTTAGGTATATATATATATGGTGAATTACAACACTGTATACTGAAAACAATATAATATTTAAAAACCTATTATTTCAAACATTTTTAAAAAAAATCAGAAGAGGCAAGAGGAGAAGTGCATATTCAGGTATATAATGATTACTCTCTTTCTCCTGCTTATTTTATTTTCCTGATATATTCCTTCTGTTGAGCCCAATTTCTGAATTTGTCTAATTCTGGATCTATTTCACAGGAGTCAGGGGAGAGATGACTTGGGAGTTTGAGATATTTTAAATGTTTAGAATTATGGGTGCTATATTGTTAGACAAAGTCTAATTTGGGAGGGAAAACTTGATCTTACTAGGTTTTGATGTTATTTCTCAATTAAACCCCTATGGAAAAAAAAAAAACAGTAGTTATTTCTCAATTAAACCCCTATGGAAAAAAAAAAAAAAACCCCTATGGGGAAAAAAAAAACAGTTTGTTCCCAGTCTTTCTTTTAAATTTATACTTACTTATTCGATTAACATAACTAAAAGACTAGAAATTCATGATTTTCTTACTTTCCTTTATACTAGTAAATGATTTAAACTCCATAATCGGTCTCTAGAAATTTTAAATCAGAGATATCATATCCTACATAAACAACTGAAGCTATAATAATTTAAGTGATTTTTCTCTGGTCTCTGTGTTAATATTACAATTTAATGTTACTACATCCATTATGGTGTTTGCATCAGTGGTAGCATACAAAATATCTCCAAATTACCCATCTAGAAAACAGAAATTAAAGGTCATATCTATTAAAAAATATAATGAATTAATCTTTACAAATGACTTGCTAAATGACAAATGTCTAGTTACATTAAAGTACACAGACATACATCTTTTAAAATTTGCTTTCAACTTTCAAATGCTGTGGTATTCATGCACATAATCTCTCATTTCATCATGTAATTGGGAAATTCTTGTTGAGTTTTTGCTTTTCATTAATAATTTGTTGGGAACAAAATGCAGAAGTCAAAACAATGCTATGTAATTTTCTTTCTTATTTATGCCTCAGTACAAACATGAAAACCGAAGGAGTGGGAGATCTGACCTGAAGAGATTGTTGGTAGAGGTTGGTATTTCCTAGCCTGGTCCTGAATGCATTCATAAAGCCATTATTTTCAGCCTTATCTGAAGCAGATGTATGCATTCCTCCTGAAATGTAAATACATTTAAAAAGTACATTATCTACTTTCTAGAAAATAAATACTATCATTTTTTAGTGATTGGTGAGGTGGCACTATAAACAATATCACAGTTTTGGTAAATGTTAAAATAGACCAAAATCAGTTAAGTTAAAGACTAATTCTCAATTTGTTGTTGATTAGAAAATGTCATAAGAAGAGGTACAAATTTTCTTATCATCTCACTTACCTGGGAACCTTGCTGACTGAAATGGATCTACCAAACATGGACATGAAAAAGTTATTATAAACCCCATGTAGTAAGCCCCCTGACTTCATAACATCCCTTTAGGGAAATACTCACTTTTCTTTAAGGTACAGTCCTGACATTGTTAAGTTCTAGATTTTCCAGGTAGAGTGGGCCAGGATCAGAAAATGAGAAAGTTTAAACATCTATATTGAGGAATTCTGATAGTAATGGGCAATGAGGATAGAAGTATGCTAAGCAATACAGGCAAATCCAAAGAAAAACTACTTCTTTGGGGACCTACTTAAGAAAAAAATTAGTTACAATGGCAGTAAGAACACTGAAAATTATGGAAGTGTGTATATAACTAAGCATTTTAAAAAGGCCACTCAATACAATAATTGGTAGAATATAAGTGTAATCATCCTGTCCATTGGAAATTTATATTCCTTGGTAGAAGAAGAGACTGAAAATGTAGTCCATTTTCATCACTTGACTTGTCTACTATAACAGTTACCAGAGCAAATGGTATCTAGAAGCTATGTTGTTATGTAGATCTATTAAGTCTGAGCATCTGCTAATTCCATCCACAAGCATCCCCTGCAGTCTATGCCCTGGTTTTATGGATTTCCGACTATCCAACACGTGCCTTGAATTTTCTTCCCAAAATTGACTTTTTTTTCAGTGATGATTTGATAATCTTTTCTCCTGCAGAAAAAGTCAACTCATGTTCACATTTGTACTCAGAAGTTTCCTCATCTATCATGCCTTCTTTCTTGACTCTGAAAACACTGGTAGAATTAATGGTCTCCTCTGATCTCCTGGTGTTTTAATACTGATATGTCCCTTCTCTTTTGGAGGAATGTTATTTGATTATACGCTCTGATTGATAGCACTATTTGTCCTTCCAGACAACTGAACCTAAGTACTTTGAAAACAGAGAGGTTTGACTCTGTGCCCAGCTCTTGGCACAGAGCCTGCAAACTGGAGCTTGAGAGACATTGTGGAGAAGTCCACCTCTACATTCATGTGTTACTATCAAAGGACTAAACGTATAGGTAATTTTTTTACCTGTTATCATGCTCATCTCTATGAGTCCTGCTTCAGCAGATGGCCCCAAAGTAATTGAATGAACAATGACCCCACTGCGTTTCACTTGGTCCATACAATTCCATATATTTTTGTCCTTCCCAGCACATGCAAGTATTATTTCAGCTCCATCTATTTGGGGGTATACGTCTCTAATTACCTGCAAACATACAGCATTAATTACTAGTATCTTTAAGTAAAAAGAACTGATAGGGGATAGTAAAAAAAAAAAAAAATTAGAGGAAATCAAAGTATAGAATAGGTAAGTTAATTTCTGCTTTAAAATCATTCAATATACAATCATTGTCCTTTGGTTATTGTGAGTCAGTAATCCACAGGTCAATCAGACACCAAAAGTTAAGTTAGGGTAAATGTCACCCTACCTCTTTGTTTTCTTTGACTAGACTATTCTCTGGAAAAGTCTCCAGGGTATAAAGTCAGCCATACATAGGGCTAAATTATTAAAAATCCATCACAATATGAAAACAAGTCAATGCAAAAGTTAAATAAATTACAAACTTCAAGTTAGGAAACACTTGCTAGTTTATGGCTAGCATAAATCTTATGGCTAGTCATTTTTTACATACCAAAATACTTAGGATGGAATTATATACATAGATGGCATTAATTGTATTTATTTATTTATTGTATTTGAGCTCTATATAGGAATTCTTTTCTTCCATCTAACTCCAAAGTCAAAAAGTTTGAAAATTCAGATTTCTGAATATTACATATCTAACAAGACATAGAAAACTTAGCCTTGGAAACAGCTTTATTTTTCTTTGCTGATGCTTTAATTGCAGACCAAGTAAAAGAAGCCATAATGAATTCGTAGGGGTACTACTTTGGGGAGTATGTAATGGAAGAGGTGTATATGAAATTATAAAGCAGAGTTTAGAATATAGAAATCTATATTACAGCTGGTGTTTGGAAACAATGTTATCAACTTCATTGCCTTTTTTGTATATTTTGAGATAAGAACTGCTTATTGTACATGTTGCAATATATAGAGAAATTATTCATATATTAGAAAATTTCCATCATACTCATATATAATTTTTGAGTGCAAAGTGATGATATAAAAATGAAGTAGAGTTCCCTTTTTCACTTGTCTGTTTCTAATGTTATAGCTTGTTTACAGAGTCCTTATAATATATCAGTCATTTTGTAGACCATTTAGCAGGGGTTTCTGCATTCATGGTAAGAATTTAAAAGAATTCATTGAGCTTTTACAGACATTGGAGAAACAGATATGAGCAACATAGTCATGACTAATACATAGGAAAAATATTGTCCAGAATATTTTGAGAATTTATTCAAGAGAAATAGCAAAATGCAACTTTGCTTAATTCAAGTTCATTCTTTTACCCTATTGTGATTTTGTTCCCTATGGTCTTCCAGAATCATCTTCCTAAATAATTATAACTGGAATCATTCTATGTGACATAAATTGAATCTCTCATGCATAAATATTTCCATAGTTTTCTGTTGTACTTAAAATAAAATCCAAACCACCTGTCATAGGTCTTAAGATCTGGAAAATATGCCTACCCTTATCTACCTTTCTAATTATACTCAGATTCCCTCATTTTCCAAGCTTTGATATCACTGGATTTTTCTCATTTCTTAGAATTATCTCTTTTACATCTCTTCCCATGATACTGAAGTCCACTTTTTTTTTAAAATTTTATAATCATTTATTTTTACATATTTTTGTGCATTTTTCCATGTCAGTTGCAAGCCCCTTGGGTTTCCCATCACCAAATCACCCATGTGCCATCACCATAGTCCAGTGTATTTCCCTCCCCCCACTGTTTTTGATCCCAGTTCCTATTCCACCCCCACAAAATGTCTCTGTTATATAGCTGTTCATCATTATCATTATTTTCTCACCTGTTCTATTATATTCCTGCTTTGAGAGAAACCATGCGTTATTTTTCCTTTTCTTTCTGGCTTATTTCACTAAGTATGATCTTTTCCAGCTCCATTCATGTTGCTGCAAAAGACATGTGTTCTTTTTCTTGGTTGCTGAGTAATATTCCATTATGTATATGTACATCTTTTTAATACAGTCATCCATTTTTGGGCATTTGGACTGTTTCCATGTCTTTCCAATTGTGAATAAAGCAGCAATAAACATGGGGTGCAGGTATCTTTTTGAATCAGAGTTTTTGTGTCTTTTGGGTAGATACTAGGAGTGGGATTGCTGGGTTGTAGGGAAGCTCCATGTTTAGCAGTTTGAGGAACCTCCAAACAGTTTTCCATAGTGATTGTACTAGTTGAAGCCCACTTTTACTAGAACCTCTGACTGAGAAACCCATCAAACCCATCATATGTCGCCATCAAAATACTGCTTTTACCTAAAGTAAATGGTCCCATCCGCTCATAGAAACCTTTTTTTTAACCCTGTTTGTTTGCTTATAATACTTTATTTGCAATCTCTAAATACTTAATTACTTTTAAAATAGCTTATTTATTTATTATCTATTCCTCACTGAACTAGCATAGTCATAAAAGCAGAGAGACTTTTACAACCCAGTTGTTGCATAGTGGTGCTTGGTTTTGCACACAACAGACAGACAGTAAGCATACATTCAATAAATTAAAACATGAACTGTCTTAAATGCTAATGAGATAATCAAGTAATGTACTCATAAAAGTGTTGAAAATTCCTGCTTAAGGTTACAACTAGCAAGTAACAATTAGGGTTTGAATCCAGGACTTCATGTTAGGACCTACATTAAAAGAGGAAAATTCAATAGGATTGGGAAAAGCTACATGAAGTAGCTTAAAAACTGGTAGAACTTAACTTGGAAAGGAGGTATTTTAGACAGAATAATTGCAAACACATACTTATGGAGATTGTTGGTAGTTGCAGGCCTTGGGAGACGCAGTATGCAACAAACTGGTTGATGTTAGATTATGGGGGCTCGTGGGGAATTGAGAAAAGAAGGTTGGCAAGAGAAGTGAGGGCAGTTTTATTGGAGGAAAGAGTCTTCAACTATCATCAGACTGAGGATTTCCGAAAATTTTATAGACTGCAAGAACAGTCAAAATATCTAAACAGGAAATTGACTCAGTCAAATTTAATCATGATCTGAAGATGATGATTTGGGTAAAAACAAGATTCATAGTAAGAATCATTGTGAATTTATATTTATATATAATAAATGCTGTTCTGACAAGTAAATGTGTCATTCATTTGATCCTCATAATAATCTTATGAGATAGCCATTCTTATTTTCTTATGTTGTGTAGATAAAGCATTCAGTGTCAAGGAGACTAAAATTTTGCCTTGATCACATAGCTGGTAAATAGCAGTCAGTACTCATGTTATGACCTGTATTCCTTATCCTAGCTACGACCAACAGTCTTTGCCACATTTGCTTTAATGAATAATCAGGTTGTCCTAACAATGTCACAGAAACTAAAAAAGATTTAACCTTAAGTAGAATCATACCACTTACCCTTTTTACAGTTCAAAATTCAGTGACTCTTGCTGCCTTATCATATAAACATTTTAAGAAATATTTATTGAGCACTAACATTTGCATAAGACAGAGTCCCTAAAGTGGAACTTTATAGACACTTATCATCCACGGTCTATCTATATATTAACTGATTCATTTAAAAAAAAAAACAAAACATAATTTGGTCCCTCCCTTGTGGTGCAATGGGTTTGGATGCAGCACTGCAAGCTAGCCACAGCTGCTTCAGTGAGAGTTCGATCCCTGGTCCTGGAGGTGATCCACATGGTGTGGCAGACCTCTCCTATCTTGCCTGCTGCTCCCCTCAGCAGTGTACTTTGTCGATCTGCCTGTTCTGCTCCTCAGTCTGTCTCTGGTGAATCCTGTCACTGCCCTTACACCTCTGACCTGTACCCCAGTTCTGTATGCATAAATAAATAATTTTTTTTTAAAAAAAAGAAGTGGATACAGCAAAGTGGCAGGTTATAAAATCAACATAAAATCTTTAAAAAACATAATTTGATCCTCTTTCTATGTGTGTTATACTGTATTTCGTGAAATTATGTAAGAATTGGGAAGTAACATGTCCAGGCACAGAGATGACCTTAAAAATAAACACAAATTATTTTTGCAGAACAGTTCACCTGAAATGCTACTTCAATTCCAGAGCAGATGGAAACTCCTCCTGAAGCTTCTGTAGGTAAGTTCTCTATGAGCTTTATCCTTTCTTTATTGCTTGTTATTTGGATTAGCTTATGTTTGATGTGGGCAGTATTATCAAAGTCAACTATCCCCATCCAGGATCCATTTTCAACAATCTCCAGTATGACATGTTTGGCTGCTTTATTTAATCGATGTAGGCGATTGTAACTCTGAATAAAACAAGATAAGAAAAGTAACCAAGTGATTTTTTTGCTCAAAGATAATAGTAGATCACAGAAAATATGTGTTGATAAGGAAAGAAAGCAATTATAGATTTGTTGAATTTGCAACACTGAAAATAAAGTTATATGTGTTATAAGATATAGGATAATTTAGAAAAGAGCTAATACTTTTAACTAGAGCTGAATTTGGACTGCTAACTACACAAATGAGAAGTGATGGGTAGGTGGGGCTTAGGTTGGAATTGGGGTGATGAGTCTCTTCTTATGGGCACTATTCCTTAAGGCCTCTGAGCCAGCTGTCTTAAAATGAAACCACCCTCTAGCTTATAGAATCAATCCAAACTGTACTGGGTGGTTGTTTTCCAGTTAGAGAACAAAATCTCCCCACCCACTGAATACTAGACTTCAAAGGGTGAGAAATTACCAGACATGCAACTGAATTTTGAGAGAACAAGTCCTTACCTCTTCCCATTTCTCTTTATCTCTTAACCTCTTCCTACTTTTTGCCAATGGATTGATTGGAATTAGTGCTTTGGTACACCCATGAGGACTATCATCCTTCTTTCCCAGACTATTGAAGTACCTTTGCTCATTTTTCCAGCCCCTCAGCACTTCTCTGATAATGTGCTACCTCCTTCCAATCCATATCCATATTTCCTTCTGAATTGCCTGGAATGCAAAATTTCTCTAATGTGTCCGCATTTGAGAACTCTCTCCATCATTGATTGTACTTTCACCTTAAGCCTGGCTCTGCTTGAATCTTGTTTAGAGGAGACTTCATCTTTCAGTTTAGCACTTTATATCTCTACAGCAACACTTCCTAGAGTTCTCTCTTCTGTGTGATAGTATCTAGCATTTTCCCACCCTTTCTTAAATCAGGTTTATTGTGGATTATTTTAGTCTTTTTTTTTCATCTTATGACCTTTCCAGTAACCATTCACCCCCTATTTGTGGGGGATATTATTCTGGGTTTTCAGCGTGCTCCATTCTGCCTCAAATATGACATCCTCTGAGTACCTAATCACATTATATTACTTATTTGTAGTTCATGCATCTTGACAGTTATATATTGAGCGCCTATATGTGATGAACCCCATTCTAGATAATATAATAAATTGGAAAAGACTTGGTTCCAAGTCCTAAGGAGCTCCCAGTTTAGTAGGAGAGAAATGTGTAATGTTATATAATATACTAGGGATATGCATAGATCACTGCAGAAACTGGTTCATACCCTAGCCTAGAAGCGTAGAAGCCCAGCCCATCTCCTCTGGGCATAAATAGCTATTTTTTAAATCAAACTTTGAAGAATATGTGAGAGTTAATCATATGATAAGGATAGAGAGAGGAAAATTTCTGAGTACTGCTGTAGACCCGTTAAGGATATTGATCTCCATTCTCAGAGCCCAGCACAATGACTACTACTTACTGATGTTAGTGGAAGAAATGAATGACTAAACCTGTCTATATCATCTTCATTATGATGCTTTTTCTGTCTGACTTTGAGAATAATGAGATGGTTAATACAGGTAGTCAAAAAAGATAAAGTTAGACTAAAATTTTTCCTACTTGACTCTACCTAAAATGTAGAATTCAGTAGTTCCAAGTCCACTCTAGCCTCATTTCTGTAAAGGATCGGTAATAGATAAAGGGACAAGGTAAGAAGACATTTCCATATTTCAATCACTAATTGTGAGCCTTCTGACTAAAACTCAGCTAAATTATCATGAGTAAAACCCTCCAGTTTTGGAAAACAACTCTTAATTTTGTTAAATTTTGTTGTCATCTTTCCTCATATAACATATTGCTACCTCAAGATGGATGTGGTTACAGAAAGTGATGTAGCTTTTATGTCATTATACAATTTAGAATAGTCCAGATTCAGGTAGTACTTAGAGTGTACTTAACTATTGAATAGCAAACTAGTCCCTATAGGCAGGAAAATTAGGCCTATGAAACTTACCTTCATGTTTTCAGACTTATCAAGAACCAAGCACACAATTCTTTCACTGGTCCTCAGCAGTGAGAAAACAGGTGGAGGAGGTGGTGCATCCATAGGAACTGTGTTTTTAAAATCCTCAGACATGCTGATCACCTCCCATGTGCTTCTGCTATTGCACATTTTATTTTGTAGGGTAGGAGCTTCTCGGTTGTGGTTTTTTTCAGTACAAAACTCATTGATCTACAATTTTAGTTTGATGAAAAGAATTTTTTTATTGATGCATTTAAAAATGCAAATATACAGGGGCCCTCCTTGGTGGCACAGTAGGTTAAAGCACAGCACTAAGAAGCTAAAGCTACTGCAGCATGAGTTCGATCCCTGCCCCAGAGGTGACCCACATGGTGCGGCAGACCTCTCCTGGCCCGCCCACTGCTCCCCTCAACAATGTGCTTCCTCAGTCAGCCTGTTCTGTTCCCCACTCTGTCTCTGGTGAATCCTCTCACCATCCCTGCACCTCTGGCCTGTACCCCAGCTATGTATGCATAAATAAATAAATCTTTAAAAAAATGCAAATATACATCTGACAAAAAATAAAAATATCCTATAAAAATTTGTCAATGAGGAGTTCATATCATATCATTCAATAATAATGACAGTAATAATAATATTTAATATTAGTTATGTGCTTACTTTATACCAGCCAATATTCGAGGCACTCTGTAGGAATACATCTTCTCCCACAGGTTACCTGGACAAATATTTTATTCTACTGAAATAACATTGTATTGTAACAATGCATGGGTTTCAGGTATGCAACATTCAAAATCAACATGTGTATGTATTACATTAAATTCCCTACTAAAGTCCAAGTCAAGTTCTAGTTTTAACTATACAATGGACACACTTAAAAAGTACAACATTATGCCCTTGGTTCTGTTAGACAGTCTATACATTATGGGAAGAACAACTGGTATACTTACAGAGTTAATGCTTTGCATAAACATTATTGATGCTGTTTCCCTTTGATCTTGATCAGGGAAAAATTGACAATCTTTTTCATATAGTTTTGTCTTAGAATCAATTCTGCATGGTTTAAATATACAGATATCTTCTTGACACTTAAACACTCTGTTGACACCAGTAATACCTATGGAACACCTGAAAATATTTGACATTCAGTCTCGCAGGCAACCTAACCATTAACATTTTTTGTGAATCTTAAATGTTTCTTTTGACAATGATCCCATTTTTCATCTTTTATTGTAGTACCAGTCTTTTGTTGTTGTTGCAGGTTACATTGATATACAACACTGCTTGTCATTTAGAGGGATAGGTTCATACCTCTTCGGGTTAATAAAATAATACACCCCACCAACTACCAAGGAACCCTTATTTGTATTCTTATTCATATACCATATATATCATATTCTGACAGCAGAATTTAAGAGTTCCTATCAAAGCAGTTATCTGAAATTGTGGAAAGCAACTTTAAATAGGACTTACACGTCTACCAATGACTGAGTTCTTTATTGTCAGTAAACCTGGTACTGCTGTCTTGCTTAAGCCCAAATGATTGGAGGTCCCCTTTTTCTAAACATCAGTCACTCCTGAAGACCTGCTGGAGGTAAATGGTCTGGTGGCATTTAGAAGAGAGCAGTTGTGAAATGTTCCCCTAAGACTGCATTAGGACATGATCATGAGAGTTTTGATTAGTCGAGTATATGGTTGGAAACACTAAGAGTGAGGTATTGCCAAAGTCAGTAGATTGTAAAGTGAAACATGGTGGGGGACTTTTGGACATTTTCTTTTGCCAGGAATTGGCTACAAGTATCCATTTAGGGGACTCATATAAACAATCTAATAATATATGCCCTAAAACTGGTATAATGGGACTGATGAAGGATCTTCACTGAAATCATTATCTGTCAACTTGCACTTTTGTGAGAAACACTCAGACCCCATAGGGGATTTAATGATGTGGCTGATCGTACTTAATTTTAAACCAGTGTCCAGCCATTCTTCTCTCTTGATCTCAGAAACAAGAATTATCTATTTGTGAAGATTCATATTTTAAATGAACTTTATAAATACCAAAGGATCCTTGAAGTTTCTGGTTTCTTAATAGGTCCAAATTTAATGCTCTTCTTAACTATTTTTTGTTCATTCCTGTATAGGGTAAATCATTTTGCTCTTCTTCAATTCTATTTTATAAAATTTTATATAGACTAGCATTTCAGGGCAAGTGGGATTCCCAGCTACAGTGAAAAGTATAAAAATATGTCAAATTGACTAACAAGTACTCTTAAAATTTTGTGTTTACATGGGCAACAAGCAACATTAAGGTTGTTTTCCAAAAACTTAAAATGCTTTTTTTTGTGGTATAGCATCTGTTACCTGTAATGGGACCAAAGTGAACAACTACATTTGAAAGAAACAAAACAGCTTGAAGTAATGTAAGAAAATATAAATGGTCATGCCTTGTTGCTTCAATTTTTCTTGACTTAGCAGCATAGTAAGGCTCTTCTTTGTTGTACTCATCAAACACGCCCCAGCGGAGATGGGCCCACTCATGGACTAATAGTTTACCTGTGGGAAAAGATTTAAACACTTGGTCATCATTCCAGTGAAAAAACTCATCTTGAATATTTTAAGGTACAATTAAAAAAATTCTTCATTTTTTAACTGAGGTAATATTTGGATACCCCCATTACTACCACAGTGCAACCACCACCAAATCATCCATGGTCCACCAATAGTCCATTGCATTTCCTTTTCTATTAAAAGACACTTTTTCCCTAAAAAAATATATAAATATATATTTTAAATTACTGTCAACATTTATAACATTTAAATAAAGAGCATGTTATATGACTCCATATTATTTATTCATTCCAGAACATGTCAACTCCAATAAAACATTTCTAGAGTACTTGCTATGGCCCAAATATACTGAATATTGGGCATTTGTAACCATGAGGTAGAGGAGATTGACATACACACATATTTAGTCCATGAGCTATAATATTAATAACATTCTTTTTTAATCATTCATTCTTCCATATTTTTACCCAATTACTCCATTTTTATTTTATTGGTTAACCTTTTCTTGCCTTTTATATGTGTGTATCCTTAGACAAGTCACTTAACTTTTCTGTTTCCTGTTTCTTATTTGTAAAGTCCACTTTCAATTGGGGATGATCGCTGAAGTAGCACAACTGGTTCGTGGGGGTAAAAAATCTTATATATTATAATAGTGTGCCTCTCTCTAAATTCAATACCTAACAAAATAAGCATATATGTAATATATCTGTGGTATTAAACTGTCATGTGGGATATTAGGTAAAGCATAAACAAGGTTGGTAAATACTGGGATAGACCATATGTAATTGTGGTGATATTGAACTAAATTCACTAATGTGCTTGGATCATAATTAGTTGTCATTAGATAACGATACTGCTATTGTGAATTATATATGTTATCATCATCCAGGTGCCAGAAAATTTAAAGTCTTTGATTTGGAGCTACTTAGATATATAAAGAGACATAATAAGTTTTTTTCCAAAAAATTCAGTTATCTGCCATCTCATAAAGGACTTTATTAAGTCATACACTTTTTAAAAAAATATTCAGTCAATTAAGTTTTAAGGAAGAAAAAGCAATTTTTTTGCTTTAGATATAATAATAAAATCTGAGGGAATAAAAGGTGAAGGGGAGATAAGAAATATAATCTGTTCCTGTTACAAAGTAAGTTGCTGTAATACAAACTAGCTCATATGAAATCTGAAAATAGGAGAAAAATATAAGTATAGTGGTGGAGTTTGTTTTCTTTCTTTAGTGCTCATTACCCAAGGAATAGTACTTGGATAAGCAGCATCAATATTGTCTCCTAGTTAGAAATGAAGGCTCTCAGGCTCACACTGAACTTAGTGAATCAGAACCTGCATATTAATGAAAGAAATCCTGGCTGAGAAACATAAGTTTAAGATTTCCCAGGCAAGTGTGTCAACATATTAGGAGAACTGTGATCTTCATATGGAAGAAAAAGTTCACATATCATTTATCTGGTAGGGATTTAGTGGGTTATAACAACATTTAAACTCCCTGCACCAGCAGCTCTCTTTCAGAGTGCTACTTTCAGCCTTACTTCATTTTCAGCTGGTGGCCAATTGCTCCATTTGTCATGTCCATTTAAAATCAGTCCCACTGTCTTAGAATTCTATTGCTATATACATTTACTCATTTTATGGTAGCCATCTTGCTTTTGATAGTATTTCCACTCTTGTGTATATTTTAACATCTACCTGTTGGGAGGGTAAAACGGAGAGGCTATTTAATATTATCCAAATTGGCATTCTAGGTAGCTATATATTGTTGCTGTTGTAGTAATTGATATTATAACAACCACAGGATTTGAGGAGTCAATTTCTAATCTTATTTTTTCCAGAACTATATTGCTTTTAGAGCTTAGTACATCATATTTGCATTATGGGAGAAATATCTGTCTTAAGAAAAAGAGAGGAAGCTGTCAATAATGGAAAAGAGCTAGGTAGGAGGTATGAGAAAAGAATGAGGTCAAGCATGGACATTATCTTTAAAAATTGAAAAAGAATCCTCCTCTTATAAGAAGGTGGATATGGGAAGAGATAAAGTAGATAAAGGTTTAGAAGTATAAAGGAAGAATGTAGATGCCTCTATTTTTTCAATCAAGGCATCTGTTAATGATGGGATGTAAAGAATAGCTTCTATCTGAGAAAAATTGTAAAAGTTTTAAGACAGCTGCTGTAGTGATTGAGAAAGTAGTTGGTGAGGGCCAAATAAAAATCTTTAAGTAGCTTTAAGGTCTTCACTGAGTGTGAAAAGTGTATTTATATAACAGTTATTAATTGTTAATTAACTTTATAATTTTCTTTTATAATCTTAGATACAGGGAGTCAAGGAAAATTAGTTGATACTGAGAATTTCTCAAGTTGAATGGGATTTATAGATAGGAGTGGTAAGGGATTTGAACTATTTATACTTGTAATTAAAATGACTGATTTTGCTAGACATGGCAGATGGGAAAGAGCTTTTCTTAAAGGATACAAAGGTCATGTAACATATTGGGGGAGAGGAAATATTGGGGTGGGATGATGAAACTTTGAAGACTGGGATGGGGAATGGCTCTAGACTCCAGAGACAGTGAATACTCGTGGAAGGGGCAGTGGAAGAAGGAGGGATAGTTCTGGGGTATGTGGATTCAGGAAGATTTTCTTGATTAATTACATCCGAGTTGGGCTCTTCTTCAATAGTAATTTGAAATTGTATATGAAAATACTATGTTTTATTTAATTTGAACCAGTGATCTTAATTTTTTACATGTAGTACTTGAAATTGCCTTTTTTTTTAAACTGGGGAGAGAAGAGGGCACGGGAGGATGGTGATGGCACATGGGTGAATGAGTGGTGGGAAGCCCACGGGGACCACAACTGAGATGGACAAATATAAAAAATGAAGAATGATGTATAAATAAATAAATAAATTTATATTAAAAAGAATTGCCATTTTTATAGGTAAAAGTATTCACTTAAAGACAGGTTCATGTGGTTCGATTAAATAGGCTCAATAAAATATCAGCAACTAACAGCTTTTAAGTATTCTTTTATTAGCTGGGAACTGACATTTTGGTTATTTTCAGCTTTATTTAAATGCATTTCAGGAGGACAGCATGTGACTGATTACCATCCAAAGGTGGAGAACTAGAAAGTTAAAATCTAAAAAGTACACCTGGAGAAATGTACTTATTATGGCTATACGATGATCTGTAGACAACATACTGAATACATTTACAAGGACTTTCTAGTTCAGTATTTCCAGTGGTTTTGTAAGGTAGGAAGTTCTGTATTCACTACTTTATAGAGGATAAGCACAGAGAGGTTAGGCACTTGTTTCAGGTGACACACAGCTGATGAATAGGGGAGTCAGGATTTAAACTTCAGGGCTCTGGTTCCAAGGATTATATGCCTAACCTGGATACACAGCTGCTCACTAGATTATAATCAACCTACCTGATGGTCCATATTCATTTTGTTTTTTTCCAAGGACAAAGTCAGGGGTCAAATGAATGTATTCTCCCTTTTCTCCACACGCTCTGAACTGCCTGGTATATGGTTCATCTTCACCTGGGAGGGCTGGTGGTGCAACTTTAACATCAGCCTGAAAATGTTTAAAAAGACTATTAAACATTTCCTTCAGAAATAGAAATGACATTTAAGCTGAAATTTTTGAAACGATCAATTTGCAGCAAAATTGTGGAGCAACAGAAAAGATAATCTTTTAAGAAAAGTTTTTGACTCACATGTGTATAGCTTTCATGTTTTGGCCTCTGATATTGAGGGTTTTCCTTCCAACTATTAGGAATTAATATTGATATATTTTTGAAAAACAGTCTTTTTCCTGTGGCTTCAAACAGGTAGGTAGAAGCTTCAGTTACCATGTCCTGTTGTTTAGCAGAAAAAAGTACATGAGGGTGACCAAGTAAGAGTTAAAGGACTAATCATCAGAGGGATTTCCTGCCTTTAATCATAAATACAAAAGTCAACTGCCTGGAGAGCAAGGTCTCTGTTACAGACTTCCAACTCTGACATCTGTCACTCCAAAATTTTAGTTTAATCTTGCACATTTAATAGCTTTCAGTCTTTAATTATCCCACATCAACAGACAAATGCTTGTGTTAATTGTTAAGAGAAATTGTATGATATGATAAAGAGCATAGGCTTTGGAGGTATCTAGACTTGGTTCTAATTCATAATACTCTGGTTATTAAATGGTGACTTTAGAGTCATATTTTTTGTTCTAACATTGGCATTAGCACTTTCTGAGAACTAGATCTTTACCAATTTATTTAACAGCTGAAGCTCAATTTTCCTGTCTCAAGTGGACTTTCATATCTTTAATGTTTCCATGAAGATAGAATGAATTATGAAGTACTAAGTTCTATATGCAGTCAGAAAACTGGTGGTTGCCATTACTGTCAGTCATAGAAAAAAATTGTACCTAATGCAAGCTCAGGTGAACACTTAGAAGGAATGGAGTCATAAGAGAGGTTTATCACTGTACTTCCACCCACTATCATAAGCAGCTATGTTGGAAGTCCAGGAATTGATGTAATAGAAAAATTCTTAAGACCTCTTCTGTCTCACCCCCTGCTTTCCTCTGCAGTGTATTTAAGTAGATCAGCTTATTCTGTTCCCCAATCTGTCTGTGGTGAATTCCCTCATGCCTCCCCCACACCCCCCTGCACTTCTGGCCTAAACCCCAGTTCTTATATGCATAAATCAACCATTCAATCAGTAATTTTTTTTTAAAGAAGTAGCCCAAATTAAGAAGTCTCATTTCAAGGAACTTGAAAAAGGAGAATAAAAAGTGCAAAGCTCAATAGTAGGTAGGATATAATAAAAGTCAGAGCAGAAATAAATGAACTAGAAATCAAAAAGATAGTTCAAAAATCAATGAAATCAAAACCTGGTTCTTTGAAAAAAATAAAATAGATAAACCTCTAGAGGGGAGAAATTCAAATAAATAGAATTAAAAATGAAGGAGGAGAAATTACAACACTTCAGTAATTCAAAGGATAATCAATGATTCCTATGGACCTTTATATGCAAGCATGTTCAACAACCTAGACAGAATTGACAGAGTCTTAGAGTTATACAATCATCAAAAATTAAGGAAGGGGAGAAAAAGAAAACATGAACAAGCCTATCATAAACAAGAAATTCAAACAATAATCAAAACTCTCCCCAAAACTAAAAACCCCATTGCCTTACAAGTAAATTCTACTAAATTTTGAAGATGAACTGATTCCTATCATGTTCAGACTGTTTCAGAAACTGAGAAAGAAGAGATACTACCAAATACATATTATGAGGCCAACTTTATGTTAATACCAAAACCTACAAAAACAACAAAAAGAAAGCTACAGACTAATCTCTCTTATGAATGCAGATGCAAAATTCCTCAATAAAATCTTAGCAATGCATTAGACTTATGAGGGCCCTCTCTGATGGCACAATGAAGCTCTCAGAAGCCACTGCTGCATGAGTTCAATCCCTAGCCAGGGAGCTGACCCTGCCACATGGCATGGCAGACCTCTCCTGACCTACCTGCTGCTTCCCTCAGCAGTGTACTTCGTCAATTGGCTTGTTCTGCTCCCCACTCTGTCTCTGGCGAATCTCTCACCATCCCTGCACCTCTAGCCTGTACCCCAGTTCTGTATACCTAAATAAATAAATCTTAAAAAAAAAACACTATTAGTATTCTTAATAATGAAAAACTGAAAGCCTGTCCACTAATAGCTGGTATAAGACAAGCATCTCGACTGTTACCACCACTATGCAACACTGTATAAGAAGTCCTAGCTAGAACAATTAGCTATAAAGGGATTCAAAACTGGGAAACAAAGAAAACTATCATTATTTACAGATGACATGATAGTATGCATAAAGCACCCCAAAGACTACACAGGCAAACTAATAAAGACTTTTAAACCAGTTCAGCAAAGTGGCAGTACACAAAATCAACACACAAAATCAACACACAAAATCAATTGCCTTCTTCCACTCAAACACCTGAGCTAGAAAAAGAAATTAAGAACACCATCCCACTTAAAAATAAGAAAATTAGATACTTGAGAATAATTTAACAAAGGAGATAAATAATCTATACAAGGAAAACTATAAAACATTAATAGAAGAAGTACAAAGGGATAGAAAGATAATTTCTCTCATGGGAAAGAAAGAATCAACATTGTCAGAATGGCCATCCTACCAAAAGTAGTTTATAGATTCAATGCAATCCTAATTAAAATCCCAATGGCATTCTTCAAAGGAAGTGTGAATATTATGGAAACTCATTTGAAACCATAAAAGATTCTGAATAATCAAAAGATTTCTGTCAAAAAAGGGGAAGAATGGCATATCACATTCCAGACTTCAAAGATACTATAAGGTCATAATAATCAGAGCAGCATGGTACTGCAACTAAAATAGATACAGAGACCAGTGGAATATAATTAAGCCCAGAAACAAATCCACACATTTATGGGCAAGTAATATAAAATATGGGAGTGAAATATATACACTGGACAAGGAAAGTCTCTTCAATAAATGATGCTGAGAAAACTGGGCTGCCATATGCAAAAAAAAATGAAATTAGATTACTCTCACCTTCATATGAAAATCATCTCAAAATGGATAGTTCTAAGACCTGAAATCACAAAATATGTAGAAGAAAACAGGAAAAAAAAACTTCATGACATAAATTTCAGAAACATATTTGAGAACTCATCTCAAGCAGCAAGGAAAACAAAGAAGAATATAAACAAATGGGACTAAACTAAACTAAAAATCTTCTTTGCAGCCAAAGAGACAGTAACCAAAACAGAGACACTTTCTCAAATGGGAGAAAATATTTGTACATTATAGGTCCAACAAGGGACTGATATAAAAGATCTAAAAAGAGTTTGTGCAATTCAACAAAAAGAAAACAGACAATCCAATAAAAAATGGGCAGAAGAGCTAAAAAGGCACTTATCCAAAGAAGACATGCAGATGGCTGACAGACATATGAAAACATGTTCATGATCACTTATCTTCAGAAAAATGCAAATCAAAACCACAGTGAGATGCCAACTCAGAGAATGGCTGATATTAGAAAAAAAAAAACATAAACAGTGAGTGCTGGTGAGGAGAAAAGGAACCCTCTTAAACTGTTGGTGCAAGTGTAGACTGATCCAACTCCTCTGGAAAGCTATATGGGCATTCCTCACAACGTTAAAAATGGATGTCATACAACCCAGCAGTTCTACTCCTAGATATCTACCCATAGAACACAAAAACACTAATTTGAAGGAAATATGCATTCCTATATTTATTGCAGCACTATTTACTCATGTCATTTACAGCAACATGGATGGTTGGAAGAAATAATACTAAATGAAGTGAGAAAGAGAAAGATAAATACTTGATGATTTCACTCATATGTAGAATATACAGAAATCAAACAGTCAGACAGCCAAATCTAGAAATTTGACCATAGATCTGAGTTATACAGGAAGAGACAGAAGGGGAGGGGAAAAGGGTAAGGGGTGAAAAGAGGAAGGGGAACATCACATTGGGCCATATATGACTGAAGCTACAAGAAGTGGGAGAGGGTGGGGTGAGTCAAGGGAAGAGTGGTGGTCTAATGGAGTATTATGAGGGTCTTTGGTTGTGCACGTGGTAAAATAACATGCAATTGTAGAGATGTAAACCTATACTCCTAAAATATATATTGTGATGTAGATCATCATTACCTCAATATACATAATTAAAAAAAAAACTCAGAAAATGAAAAAAAGAAACAATTTAAGCAAAAGAATTAGATGTGGGATGGCTGAAACAAGAATGGGAAATTATTGATCATTGTTGATGTGGGTGAGTCATTATACTTTTTTGATTTTTGTACATATTTGATATTTTTCATAATATAAGATTTAATTGTTCTATTAAAAAAAAAAAAGATGAATCCAATAGCTCATTCCATGGAGTTCAGAACCAGAGAGCCCTGTTTCCTGTGTTTTCTCTTATAGTGAGACAGGGCAAAAACTAGATCCTCCAATTCCTGCTTCCATTCCAGCATTTTCTTTACTCCATCACAGTTTTTAAACTTCCTGAGACATTTAGAACTTTCCTTAATAATTATTGATGGCTAACTCAATCTCTTTTTGATAGTCAAACAAAGAAATTACATTATTTCCTTACCTTTATTTTTCCAATTAATGTTTCATCTTCTGGCACATCTGGATCAATAGCAATGATGATGTCTTCATAGCCATTGTCATTTAGTCGAACAAGAGATGTGTTGGATCCTTGCAGCAGGTGCAGGAGAACGAAGAAGGCAAAACTTCTGAATAACCCCATGTGTCTTTCAAGTTGTTCCTGGCTCAAATTGTGATTTGAGAGACTATTCTGTCACTTTGCCTCCATATAAATATATACATAGAGTCCTAAACTTTATCAGGGTTGGCCAGTTATGGGGATACTGACAGAGTAAAGGTCAGTATTGAATATGCAGGAAATGGTTGGCTTCAGTTTACATAATTATTTTATTGCATGTTTTTGTAAAAGTAATTTGGAGTCAAAGTAGATTTCAGGCCTTTTTATAACATATGTTGCACATTTTCTTTTGGGACAGACTTTCTAACTTGGGCTAATTTTCAAGCATATATATGAAGCTTGCTGTTTTTTGATTCAGGGAATGTAAAAAAATAATAACACATTGGAACACTGGATAATCAATTTAAGAAAAACAGTGATGTATTTCTCAGCTTTACATATTCTTTTTCATCTTTAAATTATTTGCAAGTGTATAAGTAATGTAATTTTATTAAATACAAATAATACCAAATTGGATAATTTGATTTGGAGACTTAAATACTTTGATTTTAGGTCTGAATGACTTTAAGAGTTAGTTGTTATTTGACAGAAACATCCATTCTTTCTCATGCCTTTTTTCTGTTCACACCATCTGACTATTCATGCTATTTTGATATTGAATAATATATGTTCAATTTTATTTTTCTATCATATTATAACTTCCTGGAATGTCATCAATATGGCTTATTAATTATTTTTAAATCTCATATCTTGAGTGGAATATTGATTACTAATGATGGACAAGCTAATGCCTATGTTTCTAGTAAACATCTTTATTACTTTTAGAATGTCTGATAATTATGTTATCTTACTTATTTTTCATACACACTTGTTGAGATAGGTGATATTACTCTCCTCCAGATAATCCAGAGATGTTGAATATGTTGTTCAAGTGCCATGGATCAGGAAAGGAGAGGAGAAAGGATTTGAAACTTTTAAGACATAAAGATTTAGGTATAAGAATGTTAGTGATAGAGAATATTTTTAAAAGACTAGGCAGAGGGCCCTCCCTGGTGGCGCAACAGGTTAGGATGCAGCACTGCAAACTAGCAGTGGCTGCTTCAGTGCGAGTTCGATCCCCAGCCCCAGAGGATCCACATAGTGCGGCAGACCTCTCCTGATCTGCCCACTGCTCCCCTCAGCAGTATACTTCATCAATCTGCCTTTTCTGCAACCCAACTCTGCCTCTGGTGAAGTCTCTCACTACCCCTGCACCTCTGGCTGTACACCAGTTCTGTATGAATAAATAAATGAAAAAAAAAAAAAAAAAAAAGGACTGGGCAGCTTAGGTTAGAAATGACCAAAATATCTTTGTGAAACTTGTGTTACTGATCATATTTTAAATGTAGTCAACAAAAATGGGTTGTATTTTAATACACTAATAATACAGTGTTGAATTCTAAAAACTTGGGACATACTGCAATAAGAATCAACACAATAAAAATGCAGTGTAGATTAATCTCACATACAAATTTAAGTAAAAGAAAGCAATCATAAAAAGGTGTGTGGTGTGATTCTACTCATATGATGTAATTAAAAAGGGAGAAGTATGCCTTTGGACTCAAGATGGTGGTTACTTTTTAGGGTGATTATGACTGGTTGTGAACAAAAGAGGTATTTGGGGTACTGGTAATTGATGTTACTTTGCTGTGATTTGTGCTCATTACAGGGACAGGTTTAGTTTATAAAAATTCATCTAGTGGGGCCCTCCCTGGTGGCACAGCGGGTTAAAGCACAGCACTGAGAAGCTAAAGCCACTTCCACATGAGTTCAATTCCGGCCTGCCTCGGAGGTGACCACATGGCGTGGCAGACCTCTCCTGACCCACCCGCTGCTCCCCTCAGCAGTGTACTTTGTCGATCTGCTTGTTCTGCTCCCCACTCTGTCTCTGGTGAAGCCTCTCACTGCCCCTGAGCCTCTGGCCTGTACCCCAGTTCTGTATGCACAAATAAATAAATCTTTAAAAAAAATTCATCTAGGAATTTTTTTATAACAAGCTTTATAACAAGCTATTGAGAAAATAGAGTAGGAAAGAATGTATAAGCAAGAAATTTTTGACATAAAACATTTTAAATAATCCTCTTTGGTCAGAATCTATTTTATATAGTGTAGTGTATTAAAATAAAAAGTTAGTCTTCTCTTATGTCTTCATTAGGCACCTTTTATTGAGAATTTCTGTGCTGGGTTAGTGGGTGAAGTGAACAAAGCTGGCAGGTCACTGTTTTCACTGGTCTTCTGTTCAATGAAAGAGAAGTAATGAACATTGGGTTTTATGCATTTGACAGTTGTCTGAATTGGGGCTGCTCTTGTAGTAGTACAGTAAGTAAGAGCAGTGGTTTGTGTGGGATACAATTTGCAAGTGGAAATTTCTTTTAGCTACTTTTAAGTGAATGTAGCCTTGATATCTTTGAAACTGATTTGAAGGACTAAGGTAAAGTCCAGGATAGGTGTAATCAGGGTCAATAAAGGAAATGGGATCCAAGAAAGAAATTAGGAAGAAGGAAACTCATATAAAGTTTATCTCAGTCTAAAGAAGCTGTTGTGGGATTAATGAAGAATAAAGGTTAAATTAATTTATTATTACCATAACAATGAAGATATTGATAAAGGTTTTTTTCCTCATTAGAGGAACTCAGCATATCTAATGTTACAATATGTGGTTCCCGGGTCTTCCCTGGTGGTGCAGCTGGTCAAAATGTAGCACTATGAAGCTCTCCACAGCCACTGCAGCACAAGTTCTATCCCCAGCCAGGGAGCTGACCCACAGGGCGCAGCGGACCTCTCCAGTCTTACCCACTGCTCCCCTCAGCAGTGTATTTCAGGAGATCTACCTGTTCAGCTTCCCGCTCTGTCTCTGGTGAATCCTCACTACCCCTGCACCTCTGGCCTGTACCCCAGTTCTGTATGTATAAATAAATAAATCTTTAAAAAATAGTTCATTCCCACTAAGCATCTCTATCTAATATTAAAATATTTCATTGCTGTAACTTAAGTTCATACCATAATATTTTTCTGGTTCTTTTTTTGTGACACTTTTTTTCAGCTTTGGCAGTGATTCCTGTAATTGATACTTTGGAAAAGACAGCATTTATGCTGTTACAAGTATTTATTTATGAATAAATAGCCTGGAACACAGAAACTGGGGATATAATGATGATAAGCAAATATTTCCTACTGTGTAGAAATTCACCATCTGGAGGCAAAATGGAAATAATTAAATTGTCAAATATAGAGGCCTGAGTGTTACCCCAGGGGTGAGAGTGAGGTGGTGTGAGAGGAAGTGTAGCCCTCAGAAAGGGGATTAGTGGGGTAAGGAATGCTTGCCAAGGGAGTGACACCAGCTAAAATCAGAAAGATGAGTAAGTCACCATGTGACCTTACAAGTGGAGACAAGGTGTAATAGAGGACATTTTCCCAGAGAGTAAAAAGCACCTGGTAGACTGATTCTTTGCAAATCAAGAGCCAGCAGTTGGGGCCCAGTGTTTATGGTGTGAGAAGGTGTGGCTGGCAGAGGGAGTGCTTTGGAGCCCAGCCAGAAGTACAACAGAAAAACCATCATCAGTCAATTCCCGGGGCCTGAACCTTATCCTGATCGCAAAGGGGGTTCATTGAAAGGTTTTAAAGAGAAGAGTGATAAAATATGATTTGTATTTTAGAAAGATTCTGGCTACAGCTTGAAGAACAGTTGGGAACAGAGATATGTTTCTGCCCCACCCCCACGCACATATACACACATAGACATACATCCACATATGTATGTATATCCTACATATTCATACAGGACATGTGTGTGTGTGCATATACATATACATATGTAAAAACAACTTGTAAGCTAGAAAATTGTGTCCCCTGTAAGTAGAGAAATAATCAAATAGTGTTCCTCTTAACTCTGATCTTGGGAGCAATATGGGCTGTATTTGGCCTCTGCGGTCCTTACCTCCAATATGACTGAGCATTTCAGGTAAGGCACAGCTTGCCCCGTGGCTCACAAAGCCCTACTTGGTAAAGGGCTAAGTTATGTGAGAACTCAGGGGAAGGCATGAACTAAGGATGGATACATGGGGAGGGTGTTTGAGATATTCAGGGAAAAAAGGAATAAGTGTTTCTATATTTGTATGTGTGTTTGAATATTCAGCATTTCATACTTCCCTCTCTTCCCTTTTATTCTTTCTCCCCCAGACACTGTCCTGTTCTCCCAAAATCTCACATTATAGTTCAAGGGGCTATGGAAGACTTCAGTCAGCTAAACAAGGAAATGTGTTTGGGAGTTAGAATAGCACACGGGCAGTGGAGAGTGGGCACAGTGGAGGAGTGGGGCATTCGGCCTGAGACTGGAGGGAGGCACAGGGGTAGACAGCAGATATGGAATTTCCAAAGAGGGTCATGTGGTTAGAAGGCAGACGAAGAGACCGAAGAGGGTAGTTTGACAAGGGAAAAAGGATAAGGGGGTTATGGTACAAGAGAAATTCTGACAGAAGCCCAGAGATAAGCAATATTGTGAATTTCAGGGGAATATGAAAGCCTATGACTGATTAAAGTTGCAAGACCAGAGCAGTAAGGGAGAGGGCAGTAGAAGCGAGCATTCAATGGTATCAGGTCTGGAAATCTCATTTCAAAAACATTTGGATATCTTTGTGCCAGTGCTTAACGGTGCTTAACAGGTGCTTAACAGTGACATGTGGGCATAGTCTTTTTCTTCAAGGAGTTTCAACTTCATTTTTTAACATTTGGGAGCTATTGTGGCTTTGCTCAGATCGCTTGTGAAGATGTGTTGGGGAGGGTAGACTGAAGCTAAGGAGATGAGTTAGGGGTCACTTTTACCCAGGAGGTGCTGATGGAGGCTGAACTGAGCAGAATCACTGAAAATGAGGCAGGGAGAGAGAAATATTAAGGACATGTCGCTGACAGGACCATTGACTCTTTGGATATAAAGGTTGAGGAATTGGAGAGTCAAATGAGGGATCCTTGATCTCTGATTTGAATGA